GGGAAATGTCATCCTAGTGCTGCTAGTCAGCCTTTTTCTTTAATTTTTCCCTGCCTTTAATTACTATAATTCTAAAGATGTAAGCTCCTTGTCAGAGTATTGTGAAAAACTCTGAAGCATCGATTAAGCCTTAAATAATTTCTTTCCCTTCTACAACTGTACTACATAAGCAGGAGTTTCACTTGGTTTCATACCACCATAAACAGTGTTCAGCAGCAGTTCTGTTTTAGTCCAGTGAACTAAATGGGCATTGTCTTCTCAGAGCATTCTACTTGTCACTACTGATAATATGTGAGGTGCTCCTGTACCAAATACAGTCTTTATGTCTGAAGCCTTGATGCATTCATAATGCTGAGCAGCATTTATGGGTTTACTAATTCGTAGGAGACACACTCTCTCTTTATAATTAAAATCTGCTGTTTTGTACAGGGATACACGGTGACACAGTGTACAATGACATCATTAATAAATTGGTTTCTCCTGCCCTTGTTTTCCTTCAAGGCCGAAGAGTGCAACATGAGCACATTTTCAGTTATTCTGACAATAGGAGGACATCTCCCATCCAAACTGTTTTGCAGAAATACTGGATGACTGCTTTAAATGTCATACTGCTGAGATAGTAGTCCTGCCTTGTCTTCTGTCATAGTTTTTCCTCTAAGGGGGCAGGATTTGACAATCATCCCACCACATATTGCATCCAAGTTTACAAACCTGCAAGTAAAGCAAATTAGGAAAGGCTTCTATTATGAATCCCACAAAGGGATTAGAGGTGGCTGCAAAATTGTTTTGTTTTTAAATTTTAAAGCTTTCTACCTTTTCTCTCTTTCTTGGGGATACTACTTACTTTCTTCTGTACCACACAGTGGTTATTTGACGTGCCTCTACCATAAGGTCTTCAATGCAAGAGTTGCTTTATACTACAAGTAAGTGCAAAGCACTTGGGGAATTTGGCTAGAAATGCTTAACAGCCTTAGAATCTAAAAACATTCCCTCTTTTTCCCTTTTCAAGAGATCATAGAATCAGAATGGTTTAGATTGTAAGGGACTTTAAAGCTTGTCTTGTTCCAATGGCCCTGCCATGGGCAGGGACACCACCCACTAGACCAGGTTGCTCAAAGCCCTGTCCAACCTGGCCTTGAGCAGTTAATCTCTCTTAAAATACGGGATCACACAGAATCACAGAATGGTTCAGGTTGGAAGTCATCTGGTGGGTCATCTGGTCCAATGTCCCTGCTCAAGCAGGGTCATCCTAGAGCACGTGGTACAGGATGGATAGACATTGTCATGTCAGTTTAATTACATTGCAATTCAAATCCTATACTTTTGTGCCAATTGACCTTCACTGTGGCATCAGAAGCAGGGTTTTTTTGTTTTGTTTCTACTTGTTCTGAAAATTACCAATGCATATGCTTTTATACTATAGTTGATACCCTGGGACTCCAGGGAGTAGGAATTATATTTCTTGTTCCATGACAGTCAGAGCTTCAAAAGTAATTAAAATAAATACTTTCATTATGGATAAGCCATTTATGGAAATATGATCTCATCCAGGCATTTGCAAGATAATGCAAGCCAAGTAAAAAATCCTGGGGGTTATGTGACTTTGAAACTATCTCTACAGTCATATAAATTCCTTCTTTAATAAAAAAAAGAAAAAGGAACAAAATGTGGTTTACAGTCCATACCAATCAGTAAAAGCTGATTTTCAATTTTGTTTTGCACTGGAATTGCTTTGTAGTTACTAGGAATTGCTTTGTAGTTTTGTTTTTGCTTTCCCTACAAGTGGTGTCAAAACCAAAATGTCATTGCCCAAGAAAGCCTATCTTTCTTTTCTTTATTTTTTTTAAATACAGACTGTTTGAGTTAATGTCATGAGTAGTTAAGCAGCCTATGGGATATACTGTCTGGAGACTCTGTGTTTTTAGTGGATTTGAGTGATTAAGTTTGGTTTTGTTTGATTGGTTTTAATCCCATTTTTCATCCTGTAATTTAAAAGAGAAGCCTGCTGTCTTCCTGTTTGTTCCACATAAATGGGAAAACATGCAAGTTAAGTGTCTGGATCATTGCCAAGACTGTAAATGAGCCTTGCAGCAGTGCTGATGAGAATCATAGTGAGAGCAGTTTTGTATGTTGCTCAGAGACTGTGTTTCACAACTCTCAAATGACTTGTGAGGGAAGACCATAGCAGTGGAGCAAGCTAAGAATATACTGGCTCATAACCCTTGCTTCTGTCATTTGATTACATCAGATCATATGCCCTTTCTCTAGCTAATAGGTTCCCAGATCTACTTTTTCTACAAAAAGTAGCAATCAAAACTTAGTAGTCTTTTTGCTGAATTTCCCTTTTGTTTCATAGCAAGGATTTGATCATCACTTCCTCACTGCACTTGATATCTGACCATTCACCAGTTACTTGCAGGTTTTTGGCATATATATATATATGTGTGTGTGTGTGCGCTAACTTTTCATAATTCAGCACTCTAAAGGAGGGAAATAAAATTAAAAAAAATAAATAAAAAGGAGGGGAAGAAGAGATTTGGAAGAGCAAGGGCTTAAAAGAATGCCTAAACTTATGTACTGCCATGTAGTGTAATATATTGACTTCCAGGTTTTGATCTCTGAAAAGCATTAGATAACAGCACACTCTACAAAGCCAAGATGGGACAAGAGAGGAGAAAATCCCTTGAAGCAAATGAGGTCTTACAAGTAGGGAAATTCAGGACACACAAACCACTGGATAAGATTAGTCATACGCCTGGCTGTCCATCGCGGCTCTTAGCATGATAAGAAGAGATTTGTCAGTGAGAGGTGAGAGTTGTCTGTCTCTGGGTTTCTGAACTGTGTTCTAAAACCTGTGTTTTACACAGCAGTGTCTGGAGAGTATAAATCACAGTTTTTTCCTTAAGTAATGAATATATTTTTTAGCCAGCTGTTTTGCTCTCACAGCTCTTAGAAAATTTCAGGTTAATTAACAGCTGAGAAAGTGAGGCCCAACAGCTGACTGTGAGGCAGACCAGTAGCTTAGAATCCAGTTAATGCTGAACAAAATTGTTTGGCTTTTGAGTTTTAAATTTTGCAGGTACATACTGAGCAGCAGATGAAAATAACAGCCCTTATAACTGAAGTACTTATTAACCAAATGAAATTAGTGAGAGTTATTGTAATTGACCATTTACTTTTCTGTTATTCTGTAGAATTTGCTCTGTTGAGAGGAAAAGATGTTATCACAGTTTCTTCTCACTGGCACTTGTCCATGTACTGGTAAATGCTATGGATTGCAGAGAAATTTGTGGAGCTCATATCAAGAAATACAAAGCACAGCATTCTTAATTGTTTATAGTTAGAATTAGGTTTATTTCTCTGGCAAGTTCAAGTGCTCTGTAGCTCGTATCTCTCCTTGTAATACTGAGGTAGGCTGTGTAACACTTTTAAGATGAGAAAATCCATTTTGTCCATTTCAAAGAAAAGAGAAACCATGGAGAAGAAACTTGGCTGAGAAAGTTTGCTTTCCTCTATAGGTAAATGCTAAATATCTAAAAAAGAGTTTCTAGTGCAGGACTGTTGTACTTCTGAAGAGTAGCATGCCCTTTTTTATTGCCATTACCTCTAGTATTTATCCACACTATTTGGCTTATTTTTATGAAAGACTGAGAGTCTTTCATAAAAGATAACACAAACTGACAGCTGTAAAATTGCCGTTACGCAGTGGTTTCCTGGGAACACTTTTTATAGTAAAATCATCTTCTGTAGTAATAAGATCAACCTCCTGATTGGTATTTTATTTACAAAATGAAGCAAACAAACAAAAAAACCCGAACAACCTTGGAGTAGCATGTGACATCCTGTAGTGAAATATGGGGGTTTTTGATGAGAAAAATATTTGTAAAGGTGTTGTGCATTTCAGTGTGTAGAAACTTTTCAGTCTGACTCTCAAAATGCAGAGAAGGTTATTTATGTCCTTTTCCAGGAACATGTCCCACTCATCCATGGACAGGCTCTTCTGTACTTTGCTTGTAGCTAAGTCAGTAATGCTAACTTATCTGATGCCCCTTATTTCCTTGTGAAGCAGAGGACAGTAGTTCTTAGGGGCTGAGAAGTTGTAGGGAACAAAGCATTAATGTTAATGTGATTGGTATTTGCTGGTACACTTATCCCACTCATACTATTTCAGACCAAGCAAAACATAAATTCTGGTACTGAGGAAATTTTACACTTTGAAGGAGAGAGAACAGTAGCTTTCTGTGAGGCAGGAGGGATTGAAAAGGAGGAAGGGAGACAGGGAGGACATCTCCAGACACTAAAGGCATTGGACAGCAACTCTCGCCACTTTGCCCCACTAGACGTGGTAGATGATATCACATTCTCACTCTCCTTGTCTTCGAAGTAAGGTGTTAGATGGGGCTTATAGTTCTAATTTCTCCTGCTGAGTTCAAGACAGGACAAACCTCCCCTCATTCATTGGGACATATGAATTGTTTTTTAGATGCTCATTATCAAATGAATGTAATACACTTACTGGAAATGTCCTATGCTGGGAAATCTTCATGTCAGGCAGTAATTAGTGGCTTGTCTCACATAATACCTATCTATCTGTGCCTCTTAAGTAATAACTTTTATTGTAGGCATTTTTCCTTCTTCCTTTGTTATACTAATAGAAATAAATTAAAGGACTGATTATAAATAATTCAAAGCTTGTGGTTAAAATATAAATGGATTCTGACTATGGAGTCCAAGGCCAGAGTTGATCACTGGATTGTCTTTCTTTGGTGGTCATATGTAGGAGACAGTAAGAAGTAATGCACTGAGTGGTACCTCTGGGGCCAACAGATGCAGCATCTCAGCTGGATCTCCTCTATCCCAGTAACACATGGTGCTAAGAAGCTTCTGATGCCTGCTCTAAAAATTGGAAGGAGCTGTGGCTAAAAGCACATGGGTGGGAAAGGGAGGCAATAACCAGTGAAACTTAATTTTTTTCCTTCCTCCCTCTCTTTTGTTGCAAGGTCCTGCTCTGTATAACATATACCTCTACATTTGAACTGAATGGGAGTTCAGTGCTGAAGATTGCTGAGGTAAGTGCCTCTGTCATACCATGGCTTGTGTCACTTAACTTTTCCCTGCTACCTTTCTTACATAACCTGGAATTGAACTAGTCCAAAACTTAACTACCATTTCTAGTGTGAAGAAATAGTTGCAAGTTGGGCAGGTTTGATGGGCTTGCATGGGAAGGCACTTTTGGAAATGGACCGATAATTGTATATTACAGTGTTGCACATTTACTACTCATTTTTACTTTACTTTGCTTTTTTTTCTTTATAAAACAACACTGTGCTGATTTCTTACCTGCTGCAAGTCTAAAACTAATGTTTTTCCTCAAGAGGGGTGTATAAGCCATAGTGCCTCATGTTAGCAGAAGTGCCTCAGTGTGCCTTGTTAGCCTTGTGTGTATCTTTTTCCTAATACATCCAAGTAAAATATTTAAGCAAGTGTGCTAGTAGTCACTGTACTCCCTTTATTCCATTAGATTTTAGTCGGAATTAAATTGTATAGGATCTTTGGTTGTAGAAAAACATACCTGCGGGTATATTAAGTAAGCCTTTATAGGTGGGTGATATTTTTAGTACATTTTGTAGCAAGCCACAGAGTTGTTTGTTCAGGTTAGAGAAGAGGCACAGGAACACTTAATCCTTCTGTGCAGCACACACTGTTGTGTGTGGAACGTGTTATAAAATTAGATTGTTACCATGGTATGGGCAGAGGAAATGGCCATGAAAAAGTGTAAAGATTATATACATGTCCTATACTCCAGGTGTTTGTAGACATATAGAGACTTGTTCCTTCTCAGGTTTTTGTTATTTTGGGTGGGACTTTTGTAAAAAAAAAGAAAAATCCCATGTGAAAGTAGCTCAATTTACCTGGATATTACAGAACTTTCAAGTGTAAGAATAAAATTGACCTTGAATTGTTTTACTGGAAGCTGAGAATGGGGCTATAGAGATAACCAGGAACTGAAGAAAACAGCTTCTATTTTGTAACAAATGGGCATTAAAAGTCCACATTTCATGTATATGGCATATACATGATACAAAAAGGTAGTCATCATTCCAGATTAACACAGCTTTGGTTTCTCCTTGTGCTGGGTGAGACTGTATGGTATACCTATTTTTGGAGATCATTGTAAGCCCCACCTGCAGATGCTGCAGATGTCAGTGTCCCAAACCAAAGAAAACAGATTGTTTCCCCTACTGCAGTTTTTCTCAGTGGACTTTCTAATATGCAAGGCAAAATTTAATGAATTCAGCTTAGTGCATCTCTTTGCTGTAGGCAAAGAACTCTAGTTTAAACGAAGTACTTTCTGGGAAAAATATTTGATGACTCTAAACCCTTCAGATTTCAATCTTTAGGAGCACTGCCTTAGTCTGGGGGAAAACAGTCAATCAGTCATGTTCTGTGTGCTATAAGCTGTATCAGAAGTCGTATTTTCTGTTCTCTGTGGAAATTTGGATAATAACAGGACTGTTATGCATAAAAAGCATCCTGGAAAATGGCAGTTGTCTCTCATAGATAAGATATTAAACACTGCTGTTCTTGGTAGCTGCACTTCACCTTCATTCCCAAAGGCTATCCTGGCTCTTAAAAACCATAGGTTTTGTACTGATACAAATTAGCACGGTGATGGTTCTTTTCTGTTATGGTGAACAAGAGCTCAACAGCAGGCAGATGAGATGTGCCAGCAAAGTAAACAAAACTCTTTTCCTTCAGTGAATTGGAACAAGCTGTAATACAGAGTGTACATGTTTCTATTTGGAGTGTTTGGAGGTACAGTTATTTTCCCCACACTCCTAGGGAAAATACTGCCTCAGTGAATACCTAGATCATTCTAAATAGCAAACCCTACAAGGCACATACATGCTTCTTCCTGCCCAGGTTTTAGGTAAGGCAAAGACTTTAACAGCTGGAATCACTGCACCTTTGTATCTGAATTCTGCAATGCATAAGCAGTAGGAGACAGAAAAGAATTTCTCCGTTCAGCATTTGGTTAACCTTCTGACTTGCTCTAAGGGAAAGGTGGCAGAAAGGAGCTTTCTGTTCCAGTGCCCAAGCTATTTGACATTTTTTTTCCAAGTCAGTCCCTTAGTTCCTTTTCCTAGCCTGTACTCTGTAGCAAAGTGGAGCCACTGCAGAATTGGAAAGGTGCTGCCTTTGTTACTGATAGAACTCTCTGAGGACTATCTCTGAAAAACAAAGCTACAGTCTGGCCATTTTGCACTGCCGGATCATTTGCAATTCACGTGTCAAAATAATGGCATTCCAAATCTTTCTGAACCTTATCAGGTTCAAATTAAGAAAGCATCCAACATGAAGAGTGCTATAATTTGTGCTTAAGTATTAATAGTATTGAATATAGATTAATAGTATTAAAAATAGACTAAATCTTCCCCTGGGCACCTTCCCATGCTTGCCTAGACACCTGCAAGAAAATTTAGTTCATGTTTTCTTGTTTTTACGTGTATATTTGTTACTCCCATGTACCTTTTGGTGGTTTGTTTTGTTTGAATCTGTTGTGTTTCATTAGCTAACCCTTCTGTGTTTTGCCCTTAGTTGTGTTTTGCATGCCATAGAGCTGGAAGTCCCCGAATGCATGAAATGATCAAAATGTCCATTACACACCTCTTTGGAGCCCTGAGCTCTCGCATTTTTACTGATGCTTCTTCATCAATGGCTTTTCAAAAGGTATCTTGCACAGCCATTTAGAACACAGACCTTCTGTAAGATTGGAGCTCAGGTGGACAGTATGGTTGCTTACTAGCTTGCATGGGGAGGGGAGAGAAGGAGGAGATATCAACCATGCTCTTTCCAGAAAGTCAGCCTACCTTTAAGAATGGTATTTCATCAATTAATTCAGGTACTCTAGAAGAAAACTTACAGCTTGAAAGAATGATCTCAGCAGCACTGGAATGGTTTGGCCTCTGCGAAGGGCTGTACATGGTTAACAGGCTTTTAGGTTTTTTTTTTGTCCACTGGAGTTCAGGTGATAGCTGAATGATGGGCAGAGTTGGTCCAGGCCTTCTTTTAACTTAGAAGACCATCTTCATCACTGACCTCAAACTAAATAAAATCCTTTATATATTTGGGGCGATCTTAGAACCTCAAAAAAGGGCAATGAGACGTGCCGTCAGTTTGGTCCCTTATATCCTGCAGATGCATACAACTAATCCATTCTACTGTGTTGTCAAAGAAGATAATCAGTCTCAGGTTGTCATATGCATGGTGTTTCTTGCATGAGATAACGAGCAACATACATACACTTGAAAACCTCTGGGATGCTCTCTCTCTCTGCTTAGTTGAGAAAGGGAAAATAAGGCAAGAGCTTTCATGTGTGATGTCTTGAATCACTGAAGCTATAGTTTGTATTCAAGAAAACTTGAAAAATTGGAGGATATTTACATTGCAGACATAAACTTGCAGAGGGTTGGTTACAAGGAAGTATCAAGAAATGAACAATCAAATCTGCATTTAATGAATTATCTACAGAGCAAGACAAGTGCCAAAATCACTTGTATTTGACAGAAGGAGACTTTGCCAGTTTTGCCCTACCATTCTTGCAGCTGTGAGACTGATGAATTGCATGCTGCTTCTAGATGCTACTTACTTGGTATTCCATTCTGCTGAAAACTTATAATGTCCTAATAAAGCAACAGTAAGGAAGGCTGACTATCTGCATGCAAGAGACCTTGGTATCAATACCTCCTAAAATGTGTTACAGTTCATATCTTTGTGCTACTATCTTGTTTCCTCATCAGGTTTGCATTGAGACATATGTATCTAGCTGTCACCAGCGGAGCATTAACACCGCTGTGCGGGCAACCCTCAGCCAAATGTTGAGTGACTTGACTTTACAGTTACGACAAAAGCAAGAAAACATGGTGAGCCTTCTGGCATCAACAAATGGTTCCATGTCCATGGCTGCATACCTTTTTGTTTCTCTGAATGCAGTGTGTTGTACTGGCTTGTTGTGCCTTACGGCTTTTATTTGACACTTCCGCAATTAATCCTGTTTAAAAGCTTTTTTTGGGCTCCGACCATGCCTGCCTCAGAGCAGTCTATGGGAAACTCAGCTCTTACATTGTCAGCTCCTTTGGTTGGCTGATTTTTTTTTTTTTAATTTTTATTTTTTGTTCCCTTCCATTAAACAAAAGAGGCTTTGTTCTGATGTCAGGCTGCCTTGGCCTTTTCCATTCTTTTGTTTTCTTTGCTTGTTTTCCTAAGATCCTTCTGCTAAAAGTTTTTGCATGACAAATATTTACATAAAGAAAACAAATTCTCAACTAAAGGAAAGTGTAACTAAGGTTTTTCTTATACTTTTTTTTATAGAAGATAATTTTAAGCTCGTGAAATTCTTTGCTTAGCTGTTAGCAAAACAAAAGTAATTCTCTTTATTGCATTATTAGAATCCATGAGAGCTCTTTGAATGAAATCCCAGCACATTTTCAGTGAAACTGTAAATATTCTGGGTACACGTATTACATTGACTTTTTACATTCGTTTGTCCTGCTTTCTATAATATCATATTGTCAAAAAAGTACTATTTGTAAAAGTCAGTTTCTGTGTATTAGGAAATTTTAAGAACTATAGTTGTTATTTTCCTTACATCTGTTTTGGGTTAAGATGATCCCTTCTATTTTGGATTAGGAGACTCAGCTTTTATCTCACTGAGCAACTGCAGAACAGAATTACTCAGTTTAGGTAAACTTACCTTCTGTTTGTACTAAGTAGGTTCATTTTTACTAGCCAAAATATTTACCAAAAACCCCAAACAAACAAATACAACCGGTAGTTTTGAAATTTCAGTTTGGGTCTGCAAATTTTGTTAGTTTTTGTGTCTTCAGTTTTGTTAGTTCTTAGCTAAGGACTAGGTAAAAGCATATGAGAGATGCATTTAATTCCTGACAGTTTGTTTTTGATGCTTGAGAGAAGAATTTGGCTTGACCCCTTTGTGCACTTAATAGGAAAAATCCTATACCACAGCTGAACCACGTGATGTAAGAGGTCATTTCCATTTCCTGACTGCCATTAATTCTGTTGGTACTGTAACCTTAACAATGCCAATGTTCTAAACTCTCAAATACTCGATTGACTTTGGTTTCTAAGTACTTTGTGAAACTATGATTTCCTCTCAGTTATTTTCAATGTAACTTACATACCGAGTTATTACTAAGTTGTTTTAGGGATAGGAAATCCCTTAAGAAGTTAGAAATTCTTGTTCAGCTCAATGAGATGTGAGTTCCTTTAATCTAAATGACTGTTGAACAGATCTTAAGGAATTTTAAAAACATTTCAAAAACATTTTGCAAAAGCTTCACTTAAAAAAACCCTAACAAACAAAAAGCCAGAACAGGTAGAGGACACGAAAGAAAGCTCTGCTGTTGAAGTATTGCTTCTATGGTGTTTTTCTACTCCTTGCACCAATTACACTACCTTTGTCTTTCCTCAACAGACGATTGAAAACCATGACACCCTGCAAAAATTCAAGAGTCAAGGTACTTGTAACATTTTTTAGTGACTCCTTACACTCCAGCTTTTTTATTCTTAACTTTCCTTTCATAAACACAGTGCTGTTTGATGTCGTGGGAATTTCACCTTCAGGTTTTCGTACCTTCTCCATAGCTTGATATTCTCTCTGTTGCCTGTGGTAAGAACTGAGACAGCCCTGTTAGCTCCTGGTATTTTCAGATCTGTCTTCATTTGGACCATGGTAACGGCATTGCATTCAACATTGTAATAAATTATTGTTTCAAGATGCTAACATCTGTAATTAAGGAATTTGTATTCTGGAGAAAGTTTTAGTAAGTGGCTTTACTTCCTAAATTGAAACAGATTCATGGAGTAGGATATAGAATCTGTAAATGATTGTGTTACTCTATTTCAGACCAAAGATGCTGTTTTTATAATGGCCACTTTTGGAAGCACATCACTACTGAAGGTGTGCTTATGCTTGCCAAATAATTATTTTACAAGAGAATGTTTTTCTACTCCCATTCTGGCTTAACTTTCAACATCTTCTCTGATAGATAAAAATAATCCCTGTTTTTGACCTTCTCACAGGATTTCTGCAGAACTTGTATGAATGGAGGCTAAAATCTTTGAAGAGCACAAGCATCTTCTTTTAAGATCATAACCTGGTCAGACACCAGAAGCTGTGTAGGAGAGACAAAGTGCAGGGAGAGATACAGAAATTGGCTGCCACGTAGAAATACTGGAGTCTTTTTTATTATTTAATTGTATACTTATTTTATTATCTGAATTGGATTTCAGATAATCTTCTGTAAATGCATGTAAGCAATCAATGCTCTCTCCAGATTTAATAACTGCTACTTTTGCATTTTGTGGAGATCACTTGCTAATTTAGGACTTTTCCTATTGCATCTTCTCTATGAATTTTTGTAACCTTGCTCCTTGTTTAGAATCTCTGACCAGCTCTGGAAGTCTATGCAGTGAATTGAGGTTGTAATCCATTTGCTCATATGTAATGCCTCTAATCTTTGTCCTTTTTGGAGGTACTTCGGTGGAGTCTCTTTGTGATGATGTTGTATCTGTCCTCACTGTGCTCTGTGAGAAGCTCCAGGCTGTCATAAAGTAAGTTATTTCAGTTCATAATTTCAATTTATTACCTGGAGTTTGAGAGTTTCATTGATACATGTGATTGTACTGTTGTAGTTCTGGAATTAGAGAGCAAAGCCATGGTTAAACAAAGTGTTTACTAGAGGAAGTTTTGCTCATGATGCATTCATTTAGTCCTTGCTTGAAATGAGGAGCTAATCTGCCTTCTTTGTGCACTGTTCAGCTTTAAAAACTTCTAGTAAGTCTAACCTGTAAGTAACTTCCATACAGCAGTGAAATACTTATCAATGGAGAAGTTTTCTTGCTGGAAGCAACTGCCATGGAAAGAACAACAAGAGCCATGGAAAGATCTAACAGAAACTACATTGAGAACGAATTAATATGTCCTTCTCAGAAAGGCAGCATTTATCCAATGGAAGTAATTTGCATTATCAAAGAATTCCTTAAATGTAGGAATATCATACATTCTACTTACTTGGAAATGCATGTGCATAACTTTAAAATGTGGTTGTTATGGGCAGTAATAGAGTGTTATATGCTCTACAATTTTCAGGAACTTACAGAGCCAGAAATAGCACAGACATCTGTGTGCAGTTTTTCTATAGACTTTCCTCCCACAAGTGTCTCTAATTACAGCAAGATTTGAAAGGGAAGAGTGCCTTACTTATCATTATTTAATCAGTGTCAACATTTGAGAAAATAAAATCAAGAGTGCAGGGATGCCCTGTGCATGACCATGCAAGTGTCAACTGTAAGATGATGATGGTCTGCATTAACACATTGTAAGAAGTGTATCAGTTCCAGGCATCCACAGCTTTTTTAGTATTCTTTCTCATGGAGCTTCCTTTATGTTTATGGTTCTGACAGAGTTACTGGCAAGGCCCTGAAAGGCAGTCATGTTACCATGCAACTTTCTGCCTGTAGACATTGACTTCTGACAATTGTGGTTGTCACCAAGAAAAGAGGAAAAAATAACCAGAAGAGAGCAGCCTAAATGTGCTTCAGATTGTCTGAAGAAACTATCCAAGCCCAAAATCTTCTGTTGTCTCCTTTTCCTCTGTTTAAGGATTCCTGCCTTCTCAAGTTTAGATTGAATTTGAGTAATTACTTCTGTTTTATTCTTCCTCTTTTTTTCACTGGGATTTTTTTTTTAAGTAGCAGATCAGTGCATGTGGTCAGTACAAAATAAATGGTATGATGGTGATCACACCATTATAGATGGATAGAAAGAAGCAATATAAATCAAATGCTGTAATGTATGGTGTAATTTTCAAGTGAACTAATATAGTTATTGTAGAAAATTAAATAATCATTGTTTTAATATGATGTGAATGGCATCTTTTTGCCAGTGACAATCGGCAACTTCAGCTTCTTTACTTGGAGTGCATCCTTTCCATGTTAAACAGCTCCTCTCCCAGCATGCACCAGCACAAAGGATTCACTGATCTAATATGGTGAGTACTTCTGAACACCAATGCAAATACTAAGTTTGTAAATATAAAAGGACCTTCTCCCCCAGCCATGCGAACAAACCTCTAGTAAGTCTCCATATGTGAACAGGGCTTGATGTTAACCTATTGTCAGTTCTTTCTGTGCTTCATATAAGATTGGGTAGGATCTCCTGCTCAGCGAGCACATTAAATCCTGATTGTGAATTTGTATAATGAAGTCCAGTATGTTTATCCATAACAGAAAATCTCTTATGCTTTCAGCACTAGTTTGGATTTGTGTGTGGCATTAAACACAGAGATATTCTGCTTGTCATAGGAAGGTACTGTACAGATTCTTACTGGTCTGATGCAGTAATACAGGAAGATAAGCAAAATTAATGTCAAATGATGGGCTGGTGACCAGAAAAGCTTATGACTTGCATTGTGTAAGGGCTGAGGCTAAACCATCTTCATGATGCTTCCCCTTTAATCAAGAAATTCTCTTTTTTTAAACACATCACCAGAAAGACTTGATGTCTTCGGTGTTCATATATATCTCTAAATTGTTTTATACCATCACCTCAGAGCACCTTAAATAATCCTGTTCCTTCTTTTTATTTGAAAGACTGGGTTTTTTATAGTCTGTGGATAATTGAGTCACTGTAATAAAGCAAGAATGTAACTAATATGCAGTTCCTTGCACTTTATGCTCGTCTTGTGACTCTGTCAGGTGATTGTATTAAGGAAAGATATGTATGACTGTTAATGGCAAATGTGTTTCTTGTACTTTTACTCTGTAATTTTTGAAATTGAAGTGTTTGACTTGGGCCCAATTCTAAGGATGGAACATGTAATGGCACCCATAACTTCCCTTGCTGTCCCAGGAATGTCAGTGACTGCTGGACTGGGAGGTCTTCAGGTTGATAACACTTGGCAGGGACCCTGTACTGAGGCCTTTTAGAGCTCTAATGTAAGAGCAGAACTATCTTTTTCATGAAAAATCCCCTTCAGAAGTTTCTGCCTTGAATTTCACCCAACCCTTTATTTATGCTTATGTGACTGACTCGTGGGGACATTGTATAAGCAAGGTCACTGAAATGATCTTAGTTAAAAGAAAACGCTTCCTATTTTATTATAAGTCTACATCATTTTGATGATCTAGTTTATGCTGCAAATCTGCAGGTGTTTGTATATGTAACCATGTACCTTCAGGGCAACCCACCAGTGCTTCTTCAGGGACTCCTTAACTCCTTAACCTGCATTGCTGCTAAGGAATATGCATCCTTCCAGCTACCTGCTTAAGTGGGAAGAAAAAAAAAACGTAAAACATTGGGAAGACAAGAAACAGTTTAAACTGCAAACATTGTTTTGAATATATAGTAGTATAAGTACACACTAAACATTACCTGTCTGGTGAAGTTGTGATCCCAACTGGTAGCTGTTGTTATTCTTTAAGGAGCTGTTGCCTAAATGCGCACACACACAGCTTTCTCTCTGACTGGTGCTTTATAGTCAATTCTCAATAGAAGATAAAGAAGGGAGCAGACAGACAAGATTTACCTCTGTTCTTCTGACAGTATTCTCCATAGTTTGATACAGATACACTTAGATAGGACTGAGATGCTTGGGGAATATAGTGGTGTTACAACCTGTGATTACACCTGCTTTGAGATAAGCATATTTCTTTAAACAGTAAGTGTGAATTGATATGTTTTGAAACGTACCTGGTCGGAGAGATAAATAAGCAGACTCAAAGTCATTATCTGATTCTGATTAAAACTCTTTTTCTTTCTGTGACTTCAGGAAGCTGAGCTGCTTCAGCAATCATGTTAAAAGAAGCAACAAAAATTCTGGACTGCATAGAAATCTTGAGAAAATAAAACATACTTACCTGTGAGGATATATTGTACGAATTTTTACTTGTCATTCAGTACTTGATCTAGGCACTAGCTTGAACCTCTGAGACATGGGTGAAAACCAGGTTTGGGACTCATTCTCATGCAGTACTTGGCTTCATAAATTAAGGTCTTGCAGACTGAAGTAAAATGTCAAGTGCATGAGTGCAAAGCTGAACTAACAGCTAACGGAGCAAAGTGCTGAGCTGGCTTTGGCTCTGCCAGAGAAGAGTGATCTGCTGGTGTTGAATCACTTAACATGAGTGCTCGTGCAGAAAGACGGTTGAGGAAGGATGGTTATTTAGTGTATAGTGGCATATGAGTAGTTATTGTGCACACTTTGAGTTATTGTGGACGACTTTAATTATCTTTTCAAAAGCCAGCAAAACAGAGTCTCACAGCTAAGGGTGCTTACTAAAATACATGCATGTGCAGTTCAATAGTGGAACATAGGTCTTCTAGTTAACCTGGATTAGTACTTGTTTGGTCAGGTTTTTATAAAGCTCCCAAGTTGGACTAAAGAAGAGACACTTAGCAGTAGAAACCTGGAATTTCTACCTTGCAATCATGTTTCTAAAGCACCCAAAGGTATTTCCGTATGTACGGTCATGCTGATGCTTGGGAGATGAAAAAAGCCTGGCATAATTTGTTGTTCTATCTAAACACTGCTGTTGACTGATCATTAAAACAAGAGTGTGTATCTCATTTAACCATGGGCTATTTTCAATCTGTTCCTGTGAGATTATTTTTTTCCGTTTACCATCTGCTGCTTTTCTCTTTCTCAGGAAGCAACTGTGTCCAGCCCTAGTAGTAATCTTGGGAAATCCAATCCATGACAAAACTATCACCTCTGCCCACAGCAGCATCTGTCTTGAGGCTGATTCACCTTCCTCAGGGATCTCTGATCATGGCCGAGGTTCAGGTTGTTCCTCCACAGCACCTGCCCTTAGTGGGCCTGTTGCACGGACCATATATTATATTGCAGCAGAACTAGTTCGACTGATGGGGTCAGTGGAATCAATGAAGCCTGTGCTACAGTCTCTGTATCACCGGATTTTGCTTTACCCTCCGCCTCAACATCGAGTAGAAGCCATCAAAATTATGAAAGAGGTAGGATAATCACGTGTGCAAATCCAGGCAGGTAAAGCAAAATGTTTATTTAGCAGTAAATGTTGCTGATACGTGTATACCAATCCATTTCAAACCTTCCCACCTAGGGATGTTGCAATCGTCCTTTCTGAGCAGAGCTGTTACATCAACACCACTTCGACAAATATCTTTAGTTTTATGAAGCCATAATAGCTTTATTTTTCTCTGTAACGCAAGTTACTGTGGCAACTCCATCAGCGCTCATGCTGTGGTACTACGTGGAGCAGATCCTATCACTGAGTCATGACTGCTCTTTTGGGTGAGATAGAGTATAACGAACCAGTTTGCAACTTCTTTGGCATCTTTCCCCACTCTCTGCTCTTGCTAGAAGGAAACATTCATCCTCACAGTGTAGTTTCCAGGAATTAAAGTGAATATATGTTTTGATTACTTGCCAATTTTTTGAACTACAGTTTCTTTGAGCATTTTTTGAATAGCCACAAGGAAGCTGCTAATGGCTTGAGCAGCCATTTCAAGACCAGTCCATTCTGGCCTCTTGCCCAGTGCCTCTGAGAGCACTAGAGCTGGAGCACAGTGAGACTTGTTTGAGCACCAGCTGAAATCATGGACTCTTCCACATGGGAGCTTTCTTCTCATGTTGTGGAACACAAGGCAACTTATGTAATTTGTAGGAACAATGGTATCTCTCAGAGAGTTTTTCTTCTAGCTTGTGCATACCTAGGCTGTTCTGTTTCTGAAGATCTCTCTTAACACCCCACAGCCACCCACTTGGTTGTCTGAACTAGCAGTCATCCTTTCATTTGGTTTTGTCTAATTTTAAATAGCAGCAAGATGATAATTGAAGTTTTAGGAAAAGCTTAGTCTAATGTTGTTTCCTGCAGGATGTATGTTGCCTCTTTGGGCTTATTAATACATGCTCATTTGTAATGCTTTCTCCTTGTATTTCCTGGTGGGCATTAACAAGGAACTACCCAGCAGGTTGAGTCTGAAGGATTTACTTAGCCTATCTTTGCATGACTCTATCATTTTGTAACTAGGTGACTGAAGAGAAAGATTCTCTTTGGTATAAACTATAGTGCAAAATATGTACTTAGGCATAAAAATTCTCTTGTGAGCAATATCACTTGAAACATATTCAGTCAAAAATGTAAAACACTGGAGAGTATTCTGTATGTGATTCTTGCTGAATATTCTCCTCTTCTTTATTTGCTTTTCTGCTTTTAAAAACAGGAAGGATAGCTTTAATAAATACAACATCAGTGTGCTGCTCTCCTTTTGCTGTGAGAAGTTACAGTACTGCTGCCTCAGATTTTAAGGCTTGATAGAATTATGACTTACTTATTGTATTTAAATAATGCTTAGATAATCCTCTACTTACTTCTGTTTCCTTTCCTTTCAGATACTTGGCAGTCCTCGTCACCTTTGTGATTTGGCAGGGCCCTGCTCTTCTGAGTCAGAATCCAAGAAGAGGTCTATTTCTAAAAGGAAGTCCCATCTGGATCTTCTCAAGCTGTATGCTTTGTTTCCTCCTTTAGCCTCTTCTCTTTTAAACCTGTGCACACAGGACACTTAAGCAGTTGTACTTTCAGGAGCATACCCAATAGCAGCCAGGGTATCTCTCTGGTTAAATAAGCTGTGAAAATGGAAAGGGGTAAAAGCTGGATTGTCGTCACTCTGGGCTTATTTGTAAAGGCATAGATAACTACCTTGTGGAGTTTGTAAAAATACCCAAATATGTTGTTTTACAGCTGGAAATTTGTGGCTATGGGTCCCTAAACTTGCAATGAAATAACTGTGTGTTTATTTAGAGGTACATTTCCAAGATGAAGTCAGAGGAGGTCATAGAAAATTTAAACATCGTCAGATTGAGCAAGAAGGGTAGTCAGCTCTTGTAAAGATCATATCTTGTAGACAAAATAATTTTCAGGACAGATGGCTTTAAATTTAGTTCATTTGGGTGCTGAGATTTTTTTTACAGTTTAAGTGCTTGTCTGTAAGGGAGAACATGCTGTGCATGCTGGTATAAATGCACGCTAACTGTTTCCCTGGTTGGTACTCCCTTTACAGAATGGCCACATTTGCATGGGATACTTAATAATTTGTTCTAATACTGGTTGTCTTTCTCAGGAGTAGTCCTATAGGAAAAGTTCACTTCATTTTTTTTCTTGGTTATGGAGGGATGGTGTTGAATGACAGGGATGTGCTCCTTATACATTTTGCATCACTTAAATGAACTCTGTATTGATTGCAGTATCATGGACGGGATGACGGAAGCATGCATCAAAGGTGGTATTGAAGCATGCTATGCTTCAGTGTCCTGCGTCTTTGCCCTGCTTGGAGCATTAGATGAGCTGAGCCAAGGGAGGGGTCTTAGTGAAGAGCAGGTCCAGCTGCTACTCCAGCGCTTAGAAGAATTGAAGGATGGGACTGAGACGAGCAGGGACTCCATGGAGATCAATGATGCTGACTTCAGGTGGCAGAGGCGCATCCTGTCCTCAGAAAATCCTACCTGGGAATCAGGAAATGAGAAGAGTCCTGATATTAGCATTAGCGTTACCACAGACACTGGTCAGACTACTTTGGAAGGGGATATGGGACAGACGACTCCAGAGGATAATCCAGAAAGTCAAAAAAACTCACTGCCATCTCCAGCTGGACATGAAAGCAAAGAGATTCATTATAGAGAACCAGAGTCAGAAACCATTGACCAACCAGATGTTGTTCAAAGAAGCCACACCATAGTCTATCCAGATATAACTAATTTCTTATCAGTTGATTGCAAGACCCGATCATATGGATCTAGATACAGTGAAAGTAACTTCAGTGTAGATGACCAGGACCTTTCTAGGACTGAGTTTGATTCATGTGATCAGTATTCTATGGCAGCAGAAAAGGATTCAGGCAGGTCTGATGTCTCAGACATAGGCTCTGACAATTGCTCCCTGGCTGATGAGGAGCAGACACCACGGGATTGTTCGGGTCACAGGTCCTTACGTACTGCTGCTCTCTCTCTCAAATTGCTGAAAAGCCAAGAAGCGGACCAACACAGTGCACGGCTGTTTATCCAGTCACTTGAAGCTCTCCTTCCTCGGCTTATAGCTCTTCCCAGCATAGAAGAAGTGGATGGAGCGCTGCAGAGCTTCTCTTCAACATTCTGCTCAGGTTTGCAAGCAAATGCTTACTGTCTAACCAGCATGCACACTCTGACAGCAATGTACACAGAGCCTCCTGTAGGATTTCATCTTCAGAGAACATATCCAGAATAAGGAGGTTTGGGCTTTACAAAGTACATTCCTTCACAGCAACACACTTCATTTAGGGCAAAGCAAATTGAATATGCAGGCACTGATTCAAAGGGAGATCAACCCATTGACTCTTAACAGGCTTTTAATAAAGAAATGGTAATAAATATTTCTGTAATAAAATACCTCTTCACAGGTTTGTGACGATCCGTTGAGAAGATTTGCACATGCTGCCATTAAAGAGGTTGGGGCAGCCTTTTAGCATGACAGGGATGTGGGGAGTACCATCCCCTGTTTTGAATGAGGTTTAAGTAGCTCAGTACATCACTGCATTACTGTTAATAATGCCAGCCTCACAAAAAAGGTGATAACAATTCTACAGCAGTAAGCTCTTGAAAAGATAGGAAAAGAGGAGAGACACTATTCTTCACTCTTTTGTTTTTCTTAATGTTGTCTGGTATGATAGGAAATGCAAAACTCAAAGCCCAGACAAAGTGAAAAATTAATATCTTACCTTTTAAGAGACTGAATACCTTCAGTTCTTTCCTGTTTAGAACCTTTGGGATCTTGACTTGTCAAACAGAAAAAGTCACGTAAAGGCTAGTTTGTCCTGCTGATTTAAAGTGTGATATTTGAAGTGTGTGTAAATATGTATATATTTAGAAGCATTTTGCTCTCCTGACAGTGACCAAAGTGGAAATGCTTGCTAAAATATATTTCTCTGTTTCTTTAACTTTACTGCAATTGCCTTTCCTATTGCTCCTCTCCTAATCATTGCTTCATTCATTTGTGCTCCCTCACATTAAACTCATACAGAGTCAGAAGGGCTGCCTTCCATCATCATACAGCAAAATTTAGATATGAAGCTGGGTGAATAAGCTGATATTCCTGCTTAAATGCTGCTCAGTTAAGCTCAGGAAGATGGCGGGTGGTATTCTTAAGAAACATTAGCCATTTTATATCATAGAAAGGAAGTATCTTAAAGGAGGCAATGATGTTAGTTACTTTCCTAATTGAGGCAATCAAGAGTGCCCTTTCTGTTACGGGGATATTTTTACCTGAAAAAGAATGATCTTGAGGTTATGCTGAAAGACCAGTGCTAGACCTGTAGCTCCAACTTTTGTGCACCTGTTCCCTCATGCATGAATGAGTATGCCGTTTCTTTCCTCTTTTCTGTTAAGTCTTTTTAGACTGTTTTAAAGCATCAGAAGATGCGGACCTAGGAAACTTCCAGATTTTTAAGGCTAAACACATTTTTTTGCTGGCATTAATGCCATTATGACTAATACAGTGAGAAAAATGGAAGAATGTAAATCAATTTCTATGTTAAATCCATAATTTGTGGTTTGTACATATCTCTTAAAAAGATACCTAGTCTTGGATTTAGACTGTTGAGAGACCTTTCACTTTCCTAAGAAAGCCACCCTCGTGACTAAATGTGTACTTTAAAAATGTACACCATATTTCCACATGGATTTGGTGAAGTAGTCTTAGAAGATACCACTCATTAAGGCGTCATGGAAAAGTAGAGCAGCAAGTTACTGTATTAAGACATCCTCGTGTTTTCGTGGAGATGTGACTGTTGCAGAGTTGTACTTTTGTGCTCTCATAAGATCTGTGTGGTTCACGTTTCAGTTGGATACTGGGAATGAGACTCAATCCAGCTGAAACAGTCCCTTAACTTGTACTTCAGATCTTAAGCAAATGTCCATCGGTCCTCCTGAGGCGAGAACTTGTGTTCCTGTGTATGTGAGAGAACTGTGAGTTTGAAGACCTGTTAGAGAGACTTACTAAAGTTGAAGCAAATGTCAGGGGGTAGGAACATCCCCTGGAGAGCTTCCAAGACACCTATCTGACCTGCCTCTATAAGCAACGTTGAGGTCCTTACTTCAGGAGTCCTTTGTTACCACCAGCAATTTAAGGCACAAATTTTAGGTGATGAAGTTAGAGGGACTGATCCTATTTGTTGTATATACACCATCTATTAATGTATAATTCTTGAAGAATACATTAGGAAATTTGAATATTTCTTAAAACTCGGGTTGAGAAAATGAGCAGGTGCAGTTCTGAGACCAGCCAGTACAGAAGCAGTATTTTTGTGTTTCTGGGAGACCTTATTTAACTGCTTTATTTCATTTCTCACACTTTGGGGGAAAAATATGTTTTAATAGTCTTTCCTACAAGCTAGGTCCTTAGATAGAACTGCAATATTAGTGTGTTTTCATAGAATTGAAAAGCAATGAAAGAAGGTAGGAATTTGGGGCACTGCCATGGGACTGTAAGCATTGAAAAAGTGAAGTCAGCTGAACAGAGTTACAGTGAAATTCAGATTTGCAAGTAACCTGGTTAACTCCTAAATTAACACCTTAGGAATAAGTTAGCACCTCTTTTCAGTTTTGATTCCATAGTTTTTAGAGGCAAAGTTTCTGTTGGTGAGCATCAGCTAATTTTCTGCTTTTGGGATCTCAGAATCTCTTAAATGCAGTTTATTTCCCCATATTTTAGAGGAAATTGGGGATCATATTTTTCCTAGGCACTTTTTGGTGCTCAAATACATACCCACTATGTAGTATCCACTTTTCTATGCTGTTCTACACCTTCCTTTTTAATTGTAGTCTTGTATTTTTGCACAATTTTAAAAATATTTTAATGCAAAATAGAGTGGGCTTTTTTAGTGTGGTTTTTTTTTCTTTTACATACCTCTCTGCCTTGAGGTTTTTATTACTCTAGCAGATTCTAGTCTTAGAGATAAGATATCAGATCAATGAGGGATAAGATAGCCACATCAATATCATGATCCTCCATCCAACAAAGTGTTAAGATCCATCTTTGCCTTCAGCGATGAAATCACTAGAGCTACTCACAGGCTACTTTCAAGCACGTGGTTGCAGTTTTGGTACTAGTTAAAGATTCTCTGTTAGTGTTCACCATGAGAAATCTACCCCAAGCACATGCCAGCCTGTGTGGGTATGGTTTGTAGCCAGCCCTATCACCCCTCTTCCACAAAGGTTGCTCCCTTGAAAAGCTATTCATCTTTTAGACCCACCCTGGAACAGTTACTATCTTTCTAAATCCACCCTCAAACAGTTACTCACCTTATCCACGCCCCCAAAGTGACGACAGTGGAAAGTCCGAGAAGGCAGCAGCACAGAGCTTTCAAACCCTCACGAGGCAAGAAAAACATTTGCTTCTTTTCTGTGTGTGGATTTATTTTTTTTTTTAAATGTTAACAGTTTGTTGTATTTTGTCTTAGAAGAGGTGTGAGCTTTATGGTGGGAGGAATATATTCACAGTAAACCACTGTAGCAGTTAACAAATGACACAGCTTTGCTTCATCACATAACTAACCTTGGAAGCTGTTTTTTGTTTCATTTCAAATGTTCCTCTAGGATAAAGCTTACTCCTTGATTTTCTCTAATTGACATTATATGAATGGATTTCACAGTTGATGTGAAAACCATGAAATACTGTGAGTCATATGGGGGGGATCTAGTATTTCTTGGTTTTTCATGGCTCAAACTATAGATCATGGAGATTTAATTAGGTCATACTTGATCTATGTTTTTCTACCAGTAGGTCAGCTAACTCAGAGGAAAATGTATGTGCCATCCATGGGAAGAAGGGATTGTGCCACTGAGCATGGTTGTAGGCTGTCGTTTCATACCAGTAGTGTTTTCAGGACTACTGAGTGCTTTCATGTGGCTTCTTGGTCTGACAGAACTGAACGTGCTCAGCTATTTACAAAGTAGGTCTTGTATGAACTAAGTAAGGTTTGGAGTTGTTAACGAGTTCCAGCCAGCTTGGCCCCAGGTATTTGTCCACTTAACTCTAGGCCATGGAGAGAATGATGATTACAGTCTGGTTGAAAGGTGCTGAGCACTCCAGTCCCCATCCAACAACTGATTTAGCCAGAACAGTTTTATGGGGGGGTTAAAAGGGATTTTAACCTCATTAGCACCATTTGGTAAAATATTCTCGGTGAAGTACATAGGCTTTGTGTCTGCCCCTGCACACGTCACCTTTCCAGTTGGCACTGCAGGTCTGTCCTAACCTTTGCTTTGTACTTGCTGCTGCTCCTTGAGTATTTCAAATTTAGTATGTTGCTTTGCTGGACTGTGACTGGAGTGTTCAGTTTGTCTTGTAGTAGCACTGCATTCTAGATTAACTACTTATTTTTCTGTTCCCCGTTCTAGTCCATTTAGTAATTCTAACTGATGACTCATTAACTATTCTAGCAATCTGTTGCTGCCAAAATGCTAGGAATAGTTTCTGATATTTTTTTCCAGGAAAAATCTGTGTAAAATGTGAGAACTCACATGGTGTTTTTGTTAGGTATGATGCACTCACCAGGATTTGAGGGAAACCTAAATTTCAACTTCCAGACTCTAATGAATGCAGACAGTCTCTATGTGGTATCACATTACACTCTGCTGCTCAACCTGAAATTGGCCAACTCCGATTACTACAGGAAGAAGCCTGCCCAAGCCCCTGTGTTGCTGGTGAGTTGGGGAATATGGGAAAACTGTTTAAAAAAAAAAAAAAATTATTTTGCTTCCCTTCACATAAGCCAACCCACACATAAAGCCTTCAGGCTGCTTGCTAAGTGGAGAAATAGTAGTTGCAAATGAAGCGTTCTCCGGACTGCTTATGAATCTTGCATGATCAATGTTGTGCATTTGAATTACACAGCTTCTCTGTAATTTGGGGGAAATGAATGCTGCTTACTGATTGTCATTGAAGTCGTAGTCATTTTGATGGGTAAACTGTTTTCAGAATAGATCTTCCTTGGCATCATGTGATATAGCAAGTATTGTCTCTTGATAATGGGCATAAACATACCTTCATCTTGCAACTACTTTTGAGCCCAATGACAAATTTGTTGCTAGATACTTGACTTGTATTTCCATAGTTGAAGACATGAGAAGTTAAAGTGGAAAATAACTGCATTTTAATAATGTGAAATTATGATTTTCGTGGCACATGGAATTCCTCAGCTTCTTGGGCTTTTTAAAAATTGTTTTGAAGCCTGCAAGAGTTATGAACAGTGAATCTGTGTTTTTCAACCAAGTTGCCAAAGAGAAGTTGTTTCAGAGTTTTCTTAAAAATAATAAAAAAAAATTGTGATATATGGAACAACAGCAACAAAAATTATGTCAAAATATATCATTATTGCTGAGCTTCCAGTGTAAGAGAATTTATAATCTAGATCATCTCAAAAACAAGTGGAGTTTACATCATCCCTAGTTCTGGTATGCTCTGCAGCTGCTGCAAGTGCATATCTGTGGCTCAGAACATTCTCTAGGGGCATCACTGTGCACAACAGACTTGAGCACGACCAAAGTATTTTTGGAGATCATTCTGATGTATAATTGGACACCAGTTCATCTGTGATAACTGTTCATGCAGAAGGGCCCAATTGCTGGACAGGCAGAGTTAGGTGCCACAACCTCTTTTTATTGGATTTGAGATCCTACTCCTACCTTGTGGAAATAGTGAGAGATCAGCATGTCCCATTGTCACTGTACAAGAACTGCCATTATGATTTGCATTAACTGTGATAGGAGAAGGGAGAGCTCCTTGTTTGTGTCATTCTCCACTGTAGAGGCACATACAGGAGAATCTGGACAGGCTGGATCAATGAGCAAAGGCCAGTTGTGTGAGGTTCCAAAAGGCAAAGTGCCAGATCCTGCCCTTGGGTCACAACAACCCTGTGCAGCTCTACAGGCTCGGGGAAGAGTGGCTGGAAAGCTGCTTGGCAGAAAAGGACATGGGGGTGCTGATCATGAGCCAGCAGTGTGCCCAGGTGGCCAAGAAGGCCAATGGCATCCTGGCCTGTATCAGCAGTTTTTGGCCAGCAGGACTAGGGCAGTGATTGTCCCCCTGTACTGACCACTGGTGAGGGTGCACCTTGAGCGTTGTGTTCAGTTTTGGGCCCCACACTTCAGGAAAGACATTGAGGTGCTGGAGCAGGTTCAGAGAAGGACAGTGGAGCTGGTGAAGGGTCCAGAGAGTAAGTCATATGAGGAGTGGCTGAGGGAACTGGAGTTGTTCAGTGTGGGGAAAAGGAGGCTCAGGGGGACCTTATTCTCTACAGCTACCTGAAAGGAGGTTTTGGTGTGGGATGGGGATCAGTCTCTTCTCCCTGGTAACAAGTGACGGGATGAGAGGAAATGACCTCAAGTTGTGGTGGGGAGGGTTAGACCAGATACTAGGAAATTTTTTTCATGGAAAGAGTTTTAAAGCATTGGAACAGATTGTCCAGGAAGTGGTAAATTCACCATCCCTGGAAGTGTTCAGAAAGTGTGTGTGTATAGCACTTGAGGATATGGTTTAGTAATGAACATGGTGGTGGTGCTGGGTTGACAGTTTGACTTGATGATATTAAAGAAATTTTCCAACCTTAACAATTATATTATTTCAATCCTCAGTTAATTCTTATCTTTGCATAACTTCATTTCTATTCCTGCAGTTTCTTACTCAGAGTAGATTTGGCAACTGAGGGTCATGTTGTAGGGCTTACTGTTGTCTTACATCTGGTTCCCTGCAGAAGGAGTTCATGAAGCAGGTCCAGTCCAGTGGAGTGTTGATGGTTTTTTCCCAGGCCTGGGTTGAAGAACTGTACCACCAGGTACTAGAAAGGAACATGCTGGGGGAAGCTGGATACTGGGGAAGCCCTGAGGAGCACAGTCTTCCACTTATCAGCATGCTGACTGGTCAGTATTATATTATGGTGGCAAGGCTAACTTCAAAACACATGTTTAAAACTACGTAATGCAATGAAGCAGTGTGTCATTGCATTACATACAAAATGTGGTGTTTCAGGAAATTGTCAGTAGAGAAGGAACCGGACTTAACTGTGGCAAGTATTTAAATGTTTGGTTTGGATCATCAGAATGCTTTTGAAGTGTGGGTTTAAAAAAAATCAAGCCTGTCTGCGGGAGACAGGGAGAGTAGTTTTGTTCATTGAATCAAAACATCTCTTATTTCTGTCAGCTTCAGTTCTGGTAGATTTAATGATAAGCAATAAGGGTGCTGTTTTCTTGATGTCATAGAAAAGCCACTTCAGTGTGCCTGTGGTGCAGTACAAATATAAATAGTGGCATCTGATACTGGAAGACTTCCACAGATTAGACTCCCCTTGGTTCAGATTTGTGCTATGCCAGGGATATGCCAAATGGCACTACAGAGAAACTGAAAACCTGGAGCACCTCTAACAAATGCTTAGAAACAATCCGTAGCTTCATTTGAAGGAAAGAAAGCAAATTGTTTTAGTTGAATGACAACAGGATGGCAATGATATTGTATTGATATAAAATGCACTGTCTGCTTTAATGTGTATGTAATTAAAACAGTATATGTAGGGAGAACCTTAGCTTCCACTGAGCCATTAACTGGTAATCGAAGGGCACTGCTCTGAAAGTTTTTTGCTGATTGTACTGAGCTCAGTGTTACCTTTAGCTATTGAGCTGAGAAGCTGAAAGAAACACTTTGGAAAAACAATAACCATGAAGTGTGTGGAAAAGCGGCTGCTAGAAATCAACCTGGTGTCCCTAACATTAAACTCCCTGTGAAAAGCTTATCTTGTTGTGTTGGAGAAAGGGTTGTATTTCTGTTGTTGAGATTGGACCTACACAGGTCTACTAAAAATTGCATATAAGACATAGGATTCCAGTGCGTCTTGAGGACTCGAACGGAGGTCTGGGAACATCTAGATACAGGATTTAGCAAGATTTAAAATTTTATACTAAGAAATGCAGAGATTTAAGTGTGTGGTAAGTTCTCAACTGTAAGAAATATCAGTAAATCTTTGCTGGGAGTTCTGTTCACTGTGTTACTTGGGGAGCAGGGTGGTGGGGAGGCAGCTTTTGAGAGTGGGATGTTTCCCTTCTTCAACAAAACACTGGTTATTATGAGCAAAGCATAAAATGCCACAGCTCATGTTTATGCCAAGGTTTCAGTAACCTACCAGAAAGAGTAATTAAAAAACCTGAGAAGTCAGGAGTGATAGCACTTACTTGAACAAAGAGCCAGTAAGAGATACTTTCCTTGTACCATCTGTGTGTCAAATAGTAATCTGATGTGTTTTTTAATGTTCTGGCAGACATCGATGGCTTGGGAAGCAGTGCAATCGGTGGCCAATTGATGGCGTCTGCTTCAACTCAATCTCCTCTTTCCCAAAACCGGAAGACAGATGATTCTGTTGTTGCAGGTATTAAGACTGTACTATAAGTGCAAGTGTGTCTACCAGCAGTGGATTGTTACATACCAAAAGTATATTCAGATAAATTGTGTAGAATAACAATTTAAGGGCTGAGGAAAGTATCTCAGTACATCCTGCATGAACTACTCGTTCAGCCTACAAAGGACAAATGTGACTTGGTTTTTTACCACTGATGATAAAACTGCTCTATGTCTAGTTGTAGTAGTTACTACTACAGTAGTAGTAGTAATGTTTTTCCCACTCCAGGAGTTGCTTTTGCCCGATACCTTTTAATCGGCTGTTGGAAGAACTTGATTGACACTTTGTCCACCCCACTGACCGGCCGCATGGCAGGCAGCTCCAAGGGGCTGGCCTTCATCTTGGGAGCAGAAGGAGCCAAGGAGCAGAACCAAAAGGAGAAGGACTCCATCTGCGTGAGCCTGGATGGACTGAGGAGGGCAGCCCGGCTGAGCTGTGCTCTAGGTACTGTTGCATGTGGGATGTCTTGACAGACTCATAAAATAGGATGGTAACTTTCCTTGAAGGAATTTGGGAGAAATAAAATGCAGCCTGCTATTCCAGTCTTGGATAGGAACATAGATTGTGGCAATTCACATAGAGTGCATCTGCCCTAGATATAGCCAGCCAACTTTCCTTGACATTGTCTCTTGTTGAGTTTGCATGGGAGAGGAAATGTTGGTCAACCAGTAATTGTGCTGTTGCTTTACAGGAGTTGCTGCTAACTGTGCATCTGCTCTTGCCCAAATGGCTGCTGCCTCCTGTGTCCAAGAAGAGAAAGAGGAAAAAGAAATCCAAGAACCCAGTGATGCTATAACTCAAGGTAACTGTGTGATTAAATTACCTAACTAATATTGCCTGCAAAAGTGCAACTGGAAAGCACTTTGCCACACATAGTGGCATTCCACTCTGTCGTTCTTCTACTGAACACCACTGACTTGTAGACATATGGGATATATGTCTTCAGTGCATGTTCTGCTGTCCTAGGTTCTTAACATTATATATATATATATATATATAATATAACTAATATATATTATATAACTAATATATATTATATAACTCTATATATATTATATAACTAATTATATTTAAAATGGAACTGAAATCAGTGGAACAACAGATAAGCCAAAAAAATTTTTAATGTGTGCTTTTTAAGCCTTGTGATACTAGTACAACTAGAGGGCATCAGAAAACCAAACTATTTGGGGTTTTTTATGTGTTGGGTGGTAATATAAACTGAGTTTGTGTCCTTCTCCCTGTCCTGTGAATGCATATAATGGCAAGAAGCCCATAACAAAACACAGTGTTGCACGAATGAGCCTACTTAGCACTTAAATTTGGTGTCTTAGTAGAGAAAACAAAACTGAAAAAGCCTGAGCTAAAACAGGCTTTTGATCACTCTGCTAGATATGACTGCAGTGTGTTGGCCAGGCCATGCTGAAGCAGAGAGGAGGCAGTAGGCCAGAGGCCCAACAGATCTGTTCTGTGTAAGCTTGCAAAGCTTCAAAATTTGATCCTTTGCAATGCAGCATGAAAACTAAGCTTTTCAAGGATTCTCAGGAAAAAATGGGTCCAAATGCTTGTAATTCAGATCAAGATTAGTTTTGCTTTGAAAAGCATATCCATTAACAAAAACTCTTTGGTGAAACTTATGTATGAGAGTAGATAAGAAATCCACAAATGCTTTTTTTTCCATAGCAAAGCAGATTTTGTTAAAAATAAGTAAATAGCCAGCCAGATGTCTCTGAAGAGAAATATGTAATGTCACTGACAATCTGTTACTGTTCTGTGGGCAACAAGATGTGAATCTAGCACTGATTTTTCTTCTTCTATATAAGATCAGTCAGAAGGGATTTTAATTTTAAAACTGTCTTAAGTTTATTAGGAAGAAATGGGTTTCTCTGGTTTGTTTTTTGTCTAAATTCATGGGGTTTATAGCTTTCAGTTTGTAATCCTTTGCCATCATCCTATATATGCACCAGTGTTTGTTTAAAAGCTGCAGAAACTATTTGGTTTTTTCCGATGCTGCAGTGAAACAGAAAGTGGAGCAGAAACTGGAGCAGATGGGGAAAATGCAGGGAGTCTGCCTGCACACTGCTCATGTTTTGTGTATGGATGCAGTCCTTAATGTGGGTCTGGAGATGGGAAGCCACAATCAAGACTGTTGGCCTCATGTGTTCAGGTACTTACCAGCTTTCACAAAATAACCAGAATTTATACTATTTTGTACTAAATTGCCTGAAAGTAAGGGACTGAGAAAAAGGGCTTGATGGGCTCTGGGTGTTCTGTATAAACAGTGTTTGAATTAACTACCAGCATCTGTAAAAGGCAAGACAGTACAGTTTTCCACCACTATTCAGAGGCAAAAATCATTACTTAGAAACTTCAAAGCTACCAGAAGACTGTACCAGACCCAGGAATCTAAATGGGCTTTTAAGGCACTGTCACCAAACTATTTGCTATCTAGGCACATGAGAGGTCAAAGGGTGTAAGAAGAAAGGTTATCCATGTGTGGTCTGAGAGTTAGAGATTGTCTGTTCATGGTTTGAGGAAAATGTTCTGTGCATTGTATCTGATTCAGATGTACAAATCAGTGCCTGCGAATTGGCAGCAGGTTTCCATGTCAGTTGGCTTCTCCTACTTATGGGGCTGTGTGGTAGCCAAGAGTACTCTGGAGTACAGACCCAAGCATTTCTTCAGTGAGCCTGTGATTAGTGGGGGGAGGAGTTGGTGTTCTGGGGTGTTTATTCGTCTCTCGCTTCTCCTGTTTGTTCTCAGGGTATGCGAGTACATCAGCACTCTGGAGCACACCCACTTCAGTGATGGTGCTTCCCAGCCCTCCCTTACCATCACCCAGTCACAGCAGGCACCTGGAGGGCTACACCCAGACTCTGAGACTGGTGACTCTCCTCAGGCACTCACCCCGGAGCAGGAGACCACCCTGAGCAACCACCCTGTCATTCAGCCAGTTTCTATCCAGGATCTCATCAAGGACAACAGTAAGGGCAGAGCTTTTGAGTTCCGTGGAGGCAGTCTGCTGTGTGGGACCAGTGCTGCCAAGGCTGTTCTCACGCTCTCCACACAAGCTGACAGGTAAAAACAGTGCTGTCAGGAACCAGAGTCCTTGTTCCCAAAACAGTACCAAAATAGCCCTTTTTGTGCTGCAGTGGGTCTAATCTTTGTTCATTGCAGCCACTTGCTTCAGCTGAATTTCACAAGAGGACAACAGTTTCTAAAAGACTGGGTTTTTTTCATCTCTGCAGTACCTGCCCTGCAGTTACTGAGCTGAGTATGTCTGTGCACAACAGTGAATATGCCACATAAATCAAATGCATCCTGAGAGTGATGGATTTATTTCTTGCATGTAAATTAATCTGTTGTATTCAGTAAAGCAAACAAAATAAGTGGGTGTCTTATCCTGACAGGAAGGGATTGAGTGACAAGACTGTCAGTTAGAAAGCATCTGCTTCTGTCAGGACTGTGTGGACAGTTTATCAGGTGTCCCCAGTGTGTCTAGAGGAGGAAGGGTCACCAAGCATGGTCACAGAGTGATGTGGTTAAGCATCCCTTCATCGTGGTCTGCTGACTGATATGTGTCGCAGACTTTTGCGTTATTTCTGCTATTTTTTAAGCAGCCTAGGCTAGAGCTGAAAATTTGCCGAGTTTGCATGCTTATAATTATCTTTTTTCTCCAACTGACATTTTACATATCGATCTCTGGCCATAGGAAGCTGTTGTTTGTAAATTCAGAACCAAAAGTAATGGATGAACTGCTTGTAGAAGTTTGACTCTGGACATAGAAAGTATCTTTTCTTTAGGAAACTCACAATACAACTCGGTTCTGAGGATTAGAGAATAGCAATACTGTAATCTTAATGAGGCAGGTTTGATTTCTATGCTTTTACTTCAGTGTGAACATTTATTAGGACTCAATCCCCAGTTTCCTAGGGCTATAGAAAGTTTTTCATGAAAAACAATGTCAGAAGATCTTATTTTTGTCAATTTCTGGCTGCACCATGTGAAATTTCATTGTAGTCTCTGTGGAACCCACCTCCTGTGTAACCATGTTTGCTTTTTAAGTGTACAGATTTTAACTGGTAAATCTAAAGGGCTCACTGCAGCTGAAAATAAGGACTCTGGCTTATATTTGTTGTAGTTTAACAAAAACATAACTCCGTACTAGGCATGGTGAGAAAATTAACTCTACCCCAGCCCAAACCAGCACTATGTTCCAAAATAGCAATTCAGGTACAATAACTTTAGATCTAAGACTTCAATTAATTTGTTTTTCATGTAAGGCTCCGTGACTTTAGATGGAACAAACTGGTATAACTGTAAAGTCAATGAAACAATGATGATGTATGTTGTGAGGACTAGGCATGTTCTGTTTTGTTTTTTCATTAGTGGTTCATGAACTGCTTTGAAAAAGTGACTTTTTGTTGTAGTACCATAGTTGGATCCCAAAAGATTCTGTTTGGTCCCACAGCAACCCTCCAATTATTAAAGCTTCTGGATCAAAGTCTTTCTGTAGCACTGTATAAAAGAAAAAGCCCTCAATAACCCAATGTGTCATCAAAGGTCACACATAGCAGCCATAACAGATAAGAGTTTTCTTCTTACATACGCATTTGAGTCTGCATCTCATGAATTTTTCAGTTAGATTCTGTTCTTTACTTATAGGCTCTTTGAAGATGCTGCTGACAAGTTAAACTTGACGGCACTGGCAGGCTTCCTTTACCAGCTCAAGAAGGCTTCTCAGGCCCAGCTCTTCCATTCAGTCACAGATACAGTTGATTACTCACTAGCAATGCCAGGTAAGTCACCTGAAGATCCCTTACAAAGTGTTTCATATACAACTGTACTGCTTACAGGACTTACTCTGTGTCCTTACAGTTTTGATTTTTTCCAATTGAAAATTCAAGATAAAAATAAAACACAGAATTTAGTCTAATAAGATCTCTCTGTAGGAACAATTCAAAGTCTTTAGAAAAGGCTGAGCATTTTTTTTTCGGGCAGGGACCACATCCACATCTGCTTTGAAACACTTCAGAGGGCATTCATTTCATTCTTGGACTTTGGGGGTGTTAATTATCCACAGATACTTAATTACAACTTCACTTTGGAGCCTAGTCCAGTATGGAAACTTGGGTGAATGTGAACCTAAGACAGTGGATTTAGGTTAGATGTTTGACAGTGGGATAACTTCAGAAGTGTTCAGAAAATGGGTAATAGCGAACAAAGCACACAAATGAAGAGTGTTAAATAAAGCAGTGGGATTTGTCCTACTTGCTCTTCCCCAACAGAGTGGATGGGGCATGTGCCTTACAGTGCAAATGGTTGTTTTCATCACTGTCTCAAATAGATCAGAAGGATTGGGCACAGAGGAAGATCTTTCACTTAAATTTGTACTGTGCCTGTAGAAGCTACATTACTCATACAGGTTTTGTTCTGTCATGGATTTTATCTGATATATGTCTCCAGTTTAATCAGTTTCCCCTTTCCCTGAAGTGCTGTTTGTCATTTGCCAATATAACACTTCAAGTTGATTGGTTTTTTGCTCTTGCTTTGTCTCCAGGCTTCAACATTCATAACTAGTTTTAATAGCTATCCTCTTTTCATGTATGTAGTAGTCAATCAACAGTAGTAAGCAATAATGAAACTGAAATCAGGATAGAGCAATTAAGTGCAATTTTTTATTTTAAAAGTGGTATGTCCCCTGATTATATATCTCATTAGAGATAAAAGCACCAGTATATGTTTGAATGAGGGAATGAAATGTCTTTCCAAATTTTATAAGAACAATGGAAGATGAATCCCTTTCAACAGCAAATAACAAGTGACTGGGGAACAGTAAAGCGTTTTCTCACATTCTGTTCTTTGTATCCTTTGCTTAATAAGAAATACAAAATTAAGTACCCAAACTAAATAATTTGCAGTTTATATTCTTTCCTGTAGATGTCACCAAAGGCTTTTGTAACTACCATTTTGGGTCTTACTATCAATTATTTAGCTACTTGCTTAACTTTTCTGCAGTATTTCTCTAGGACTTTGTCTTTAATACGTTTGCAAAAAACAGGAGTGATCACTTAAATCAAAATTATGTTTAATAAGTTGTTCTTAAGACGTGGATCCATCTCTTGTTCTTTTACTTATACAAGTATAGACTGTGTTTTTCATTGGGGTTTTTTTTGGTTTTTTTCCTTTTTCTCATCCCTCCTTAAACCTCCCCCTGACTTAATAAATAATTTTCAACCTGATTTCAATTCCAATTTAGACATTTAGAGATGGAGGAGCAGCTGATGCCTAGCTTCCATTTATTTTCTTATACTTTCTTGTAGGGGAAGTAAAATCTACCCAGGACAGGAGAAGTGCACTTCACTTGTTCCGACTTGGTGATGCCATGCTCAGAATTGTAAGGAGTAAATCTCGCCCGTTGCTCCACCTCATGCGCTGCTGGAGCCTGGTGGCACCTCACCTTGTAGAGGTAGGAACAGGGGACAAAAATGTGAATGTGTGGAAGAGATGACAGAGGTGAAAAAGATGGAGAAGGCTTGATAGCTCTTAAAATGTATAACAACCCTCAACATTTTCAAATCTACTAGGTATTGTATAAACCATGTCATATACCGTGATACTGCAACAAAGGGCTGTGCTTTTAAGTAACTGAAATGGGCAGGACCAGGGACAGGGTGTTGGATTTTTGCAATATGATGCAAAATGTGTCTGGTGAAAAAACTCAAACCACACCAAGAGGCTATAAGTAACTCCTCCATCAAGTCTTCCCATAAAAGGATACAGGTTTCTTTTCCTACATAAAACCAGCTCAATGGGAAGGATTATAACATTTTTCCCTTTCCTTCTGCTTCCTTGTGAACACTGCTCAGTGGCATGCCAGTAGCAGCCACAAAATGGATTTCAGTCATAACAAATGAAATTTCCTCAGTCAAATTTTCAGTCTTTTCAGATGAAATGCTGGTGTCTTGACTTCTTAGAGCTTTTTGATTTGTATCATTGGTATGAATAAATGTGCAGTACTTTTTTTCTTTCTGTTGATGAGGTGTGTAGTGTCATTTGCCCAGGTCTGGTGGGAGTATGCTTATCTGAAGTCTAAAGATGAGCTGTTCAGTAAATTACCATAGCACTTTCTTTCATTGACTTGAGAAAATGTGTAGACCATCTTACAGCAGAGATCACACATCAGGAAGTCTCAATGGAATCCCTTTAAGTGAAGTAGAAATAACAAAGAAGGGTTTTGTTGTGTGCTTTACAGCCCTTTATCTTGAAAACCTGTGTCCTCCTTACCTTTGTATAACAACCTGAGATATCTTTAAATACTTTGCATGTTTTGAACACTTTAGGGTCTTTTAAGATCCCACACTAGTTTAAATTCAAGTACCATCTATGTTTTTAGACACAGGAGTGGTCAGACTTTTGGGTTAACTTCAGTGAAGATGAGGGCATTATCAGTAAAAAGTAACATCACAGAAAGGATAACCTGCATAGTTGCTTAAAATGGTAACTTTATATTCAGATTCACTGCTCTTCAATTTTATAACAGTTCTTCCAAGTGTCAAGAACCTTGAAGTTCCATAAATAGCCAGATAAGTGGCACTTGTTCATGCCTACATAGGTATGGTGAATATTTGCAGAAACTACCTTTTTGAAGGGAAAAATGGTCACCCAGTAGAAACAAAAGACAGTGTTTCACATGAGTTCTGTTCTGTGAGTTTTAGTATTTATTTATTTTTTAGCTCTGTACTTTTGGAATTGTTAACAAACCTTCATGCATCTGTGGAACTCCCAGCAACTCAGAGTCTCAGTCATCTGTTTCCATGGCAGTACTCCCTCATTTTCAGTGTAGTGGGGTCCCTAGTAACATCAGTGGTGAAACCGCTTTTAGGGTTCAGCAACATGAAGTGCTTACCTCCCTTGAAAGTGTCTCACTAAACCAAATGTTTTCTCTTGCACATACTCTAATACTTCTCCTTTCCCTGCAGGCTGCCTGTCATAAGGAGAGGCATGTGTCTCGAAAGGCTGTCTCCTTCATCCATGACATCCTCACTGAAGTGCTGATGGACTGGAATGAGCCTTCTCACTTTCACTTTAACGAGGCGCTTTTCCGCCCCTTTGAGCGCATCATGCAGCTAGAGCTGTGTGATGAGGATGTCCAAGACCAGGCAAGTCAGTTCTGATATGGGTGTCTGTATTTGGCCTACCATGCCCGTAAGAAGAATGGTTTCTGGAATGCACTTGGTCCACCTGAATGTTTCTCAGATTCCCTTCAAATGCTGTCCTTTAATGATCTTCAAAGAATTGAGAGTGCTCTGCCTACCTAAACCAGCATTGTGATACAGCACAGAGACAGTACACCTGGCTTTAAAGCAATTAAATAAAGCTTTTCTATTATCTAAAGAAGTTTAAATAATAAATTAGTCTAGACTGAGTGAAATCTAGGAATCTGAAGACACTGTCATTCTTTCTGAAGATCCATCTATATATCAGTTCTGTTTTTTGATTCTGTTCTTTTAACCCCTCTTACACTGACTGCAGGTGGTCACCTCTATAGGAGAGTTGGTGGAAATGTGTTCTACCCAGATCCAGTCGGGATGGAGACCCCTATTCAGTGCCCTGGAAACAGTGCACAGCAGCAGCAAGTCAGAGGTTAAAGAGTACCTTGTAGGAGAATACTCTATGGGTAAGGACTTACTGCACTGACTGTTCCATATGTGTTTTAGATTCCCTGGGGGACACAGTAACTAAATGTATTTAAATGCCCTAACTGAACAGTGGCACTGCAATACTCCAGAACTGTACTCAAGTATCTGACTTCTTAGTTGGAAGGGGAAGGCAAAGCACAGGTATTGTTCTGACTTTTTGGCCTCTAAATTCTGACAGATGAGTAGAATGAGAAAGAAATGCTTCAAACCTATGTGAATAATTTTGAGCAACACAGTAGTTGAGGCATACTGAGCTTGGCTGAGCCCTGGTCACTGTCCTGCTCAAGAAAGGGAAGCAGATTGTATACAACCAGCATGTCTCATGTGGACTGTCTTCCTTATTGTGTGAAACCTAGTGCTCTTAAACATCATGGTAACTTAATGTGATAATCTAGACAAGCGCTTGTCCAGGTAGTTTAATCATAAGGTTTTCAGATTGCTGGTGCTGCAAGAATTTGCACCCCTCTTTGCTTGTATGGAAATGGAGTAATACGGGAAAATAATTTCATTCTGTTCTTTTGCCCCATTCAAAGGTATTTTAAATGTTACAAGTCACATGTAAGGTTTCTTCGTAAACTTTGTCTTTGAGATCTGTTAAAACTGATGGCTGAATGCAGGTGTACACAGCTTTTGAAGATTGATAATCTACTTGGGAAAAACAAGGCTATTTTGTTACTGTGTGGTCTCAATAGTTTTCTGCGTGATTGATGTCCTCTTGGCAGTTATCAAAAACTGAACTAGAAAATAAACATAAACCTCCACCAAACGAAGTATTAGCTTCTGAATTGAGTTCAAGAGGTGAAACCTGCTCTTACCATTTGGACAGGCATACGCTAGTATTTGACATAGATTAGGCAAAGGAGGGACTCTGTATCTCTTCCTATGAAAGGCTACATGAGTTGCCTCAGGAGCAAGAGAAGCTTTTACTTTTAAGATGGTTTCTGTCTCTACTCAGAATAGAAAAAGATTTTACAGATTCAATTTAATTTTTGAAAAATGGTTGGAAAATCATTTTTATAGGAGTTGGGGAAAAGTTCTCATCTTGTTATTTCCACAGGGAAACGCCAGGCTCCGGTGTTTGATGTCTTCGAAGCATTTCTAAACACAGACAGCATCCAGGTCTTTGCCAATGCTGCCACCAGTTATATTATGTGCCTTATGAAGTTTGTCAAAGGACTGGGTAAATATTTTCCTTTCCTATTAAGTCATGGTATTTCAAACTTGATCCTGCAGAAGAGGATAATTCAGTTGTGTAATACATAGTATGGTAGAAAAGAGAGAGAAAATGAAGAACATGAGTCCACAATGCTTAAAAAAAAATGAAATGGAGACTGAGGGATTATTTGACAAACATTTTTAATACTCTCAGTTCTTCAAGTTTTTATAGCATCAAAAATGCATCTCACTATTAAATGTCTACTCCGTCTGATCTTAATTTGCAGCAGAACTTGCTTACATTCATTTAAAGAATAAAACCCGAACCAAACCCACTACCTAGAATATTACAGAAATGGCCTGGCGTTATGCAGAGACACTAGGGAGTATCTGCAACAGAATAGGGTGTGTTTTATGTTCAGAGGTCAAAGGCACATCTGCTTTATGTCCTTGCCCACCTCAGCAGCAGTAGTTTGGCGTATGCACTGCTGAAAACCTGCCGAACCTTCTGTGAGGTCCTGAGCATTGCAACTCACACCACTGTCCCTGTGCTTTGTGTTGTGTTACTGAGGGCAGCAGAGACCAAGAATATCGTGCCAGGGTGACCCTGCAGAGTAATTGTGGTGCTTTGCCAAAATTCAGAACAAAGAGAAATGCTGGGTCGTTCTGATCGCCCATGCTTACCCTGATCATTAGAATTCGACACTTTTCATTGAACTGTGACAATGATGGGGTGTTTTGGTTATCTAAATTACAGAACTTCCAATGAGTGGTAAAATTAGACTTTTGGTTTCTATAGGTATATTGATTCACAGAGGTTTCTGTCTGTAAATAACTCCTTTGATCTAAATGAAGCACCTAACTGCAGCAAATCTAGTCTTTACTCTTGTCTTATTAAGCTATTTCACTATTGATTTAAATGGAGGCAGAATTCAACTTGTGATAACAGACCATAATTACTACAAAAGAGAAATAAACTTGCATGTCCAATACCAATAGAGGGAACTCATGTTTCTTCTGGAGAGTTCAAAAGCCTGTCTTTATGTTTCTTTAGGTTTCTTAGTTACATGAGATAATTTTGACCCCTTTGTGGTCACATGTCAAAAAGCAAGATTTTTTTTTAATTAAAGGTAGTAGGACTATGGGATACTTCAGCAAATACCATACTATGTGCATTTTAATGTAAAACTAAAGGATTCAAATTTCACTGGCTGACTTGGCTGATCTCAATAGTGGACAAAACTTTAAAATGCATTATGGAGGGAATCATTAAGGGCATAGAAGAAACAAATAAATATAGTGAAAGGAGAATAAAGTAGGACTTAATAAAAGGATTTAATATTTATTTTGTGGTTTTTCTGAGAGAAGTAGCTCTTAAGACAACAGAATGTTTATGTGTCTAGGCATTTAGTAAAGTTTCAAATTTGGCACTGAATTGAAAGTAGTTGGATAAAATGGAAAAATGGTTATAAACCAAGTATTCTAAGGTGGGCAGAACACTGGCTGACAGGGGAGGAAAACAGACTGTGCAGACAGGAAAATGGTGGAATGAATGGAGTTATCCAGAGAGGATCTCTGCAGCAGGATGCCTTGGAACTGCTCTGCTTATTGAATTCACTTAATGAAACTGACCTGAAAGAAAGAGTCTGCTGATGTCGTAGAGTTGGTAATACTAGCAATTTTTAGCCTGAGGATATATATCATACAGTTGAAACTGTGAGACCTTGACACCTGAATTAGACAGCAGAAGGAAATATAGTAGCACAAAATATAAAATGGTGCATTTAAGCAGTAAATAAACTAAAAGGAAGAACTTGTGCTATAAAAACTTTCCAGGGCACTGGGGTACAAATGAATAGAAAAAAAAATGAGTATAGTAATTGAGCAAAGAATAAGAATATAATATGAGCAAGTAATTACAACACCCATGGAAGAAAGTGGAGTGGATCAATATAGCAGATAATATAATATATGATTATAAGAACTCCCAAACACTTTACTAAAGAGTCATTAAATAGGCGTATCTGTATCAAAACATTTATTCATATACAAGTTTGTGGGCCAACAGTGACCAGTATTACTGTATTGTTTGTGTGGGGGTCATCTGGTTGTCATCTAAGATGATCAAAGAAAGAATGTTTTCTGGCTTCTGTTCAGATATTAAGGCATAAGTGAATGAAAAAGGAAAAAGAATTCTATGTTTGTTTATATTCTTCTGTCCTTCCCAATGCTACCTTTCCTGTCCTCAGGGGAAGTAGATTGTAAGGAGATGGGTGACTGTGTGCCAGGATCAGGATCTGCATCTACAGACTTGTGCCTTCCTGCACTTGATTACCTCAGGAGATGTTCTCAGGTATGATGAACAATCTTATACAGGCACTAACTTGGCCTAGGAAACAGTTCTACTCTGCAGGCTCTACAACAGTCATGAGATGGTTTGCATGAATCTAGCAAAGTCTGTGGTGACCCTGATGGTAATAACCTGCACTGCCAAATGGTCAGTGGCTATATCTGAAGGCATATCATACCTTGTAGGCCAATTAGTGGTGGGAAAACTGATGAAATAAAAGCACCCAGGGAGCATGTGGGAAAATGTGAACAATGAAAACCTAGTAGTAACATATACAAAGCCAAATTCATTCTTATTTAAATGGTAACTGTAAACAATGTTGAGAATCAAAGACAAAAAAACCAACAAACAAACAAACAAGCAAAAAACCAAAACAACTTGAGAATGCCCAGATCTTAAGAGCAACAGGTTACACCCTCTGAAACACAGAAGCAGCTTATTTGTACCATGAAAACTTATCTGAAGCTTGGGGCAAATCTGTAATAATTGGAATGCTGAGGTGTTTCCTCTAAACTTCTGGCCTCTAATTGTGTTTTCGTAGCTTTTATTTTATTTTGCGTACTTGTGTTGTATGTGATAGCTTTTACAAACTTTAATATATTTACTTATCCTCTCTTTTTTTTCCTCTATCTCCTCTCCACTTCCCTCCCCAAGTTGTTAGCCAAAATCTATAAAATGCCCTTGAAACCCATCTTCCTCAGTGGTCGGCTAGTTAATTTGCCCCGCAGAGTGCAGGAACAGTCAGCCAGCAGTGAGGATGGTATTGAATGCATCCTTTCTGACTTTGATGATGACACTGGTAAGTGCATTGAAAGCAGTAAGTGCAGAATTAATCAATTACTTCTTCCACATGTTGCTGTAAATTTTGCCAACTGCTGAAAGCAAAAACTTCATCGTCTCCCTGTTGTCTACACAAACACATGTGCACACACAGAGTTTGGAAGTTCAGATCACATCACCTTCTTTATGTAAAGATACAGTTCATATATGAGAAAAATACAACCCATCTGCTAGGGCGAGGCAACAATATTTTAATGAATAATTATTTTGATTATCCTGATATTCATAATACAACCAAGGTATATTTCTGAGACCTAACCCAAAACAACCTTTCTAGACTGCAGCTGAAGTAAAGGAGTGAAAACCTTTTAAGGTTGGTATTGGCAGGCCTGCCTTAACAGAAAAAAATATCAGTATTTAGTTACAACCTAGAAAGATAAGGAATAATTGTTTAAATGTTTTCAAACTTGTGTCCTGTGGTCTGTTGAAATAAACGGTGAATTTCTGAAGTCCATATAAAGCTACATGACCTCCAGAAAAAACAAGCAACATTTGTCTCCTGATTGTTTGTGTGGTTTATATAGGTTGTGGATTAATCAGGTGTTTGATGAAATAGATCTGTGCAGAGCCAAGTGGTAGAGGAATGCAGCCTTACAGCTTCTGAACTCAGGAGGCCTTCACAGTAGTGCAGTCACTTTTGAATATCTGAACTACTGAGCTGTTCCAAACAGGCTGCTTCTGCGAAGAATCAGCTCCAACCTGTCAGAAAGCAGGCTGACTCCAATGCGTTTCATTCATGTGCCTCACCAGGCTGGCCCTTGGTACCTACTTTTATCTAGACTCTTCCATCACATGGATTGTCCTGTTCCACTGCCACCCTGGATAAAGGAGAGAAGAGCTGCTCTCTGAAAACAGAAAATCACAAGTCCTATTTTTTCACAAAACAACCTTTTACTTACTTCTATGTTTGTGTTTGGTTTCGGTTTAGTTTTTCTAAGTCATTGAAGCCTCTGTTTGAGTCAGTCCTTGGGACTTGACCTAGGGTCTCCCCACCTCAGGTGAACACACTTTGCCTGCTGTTCTGAAGTGGTTCTGCCTATCAGTGTCTTTCTGTGATTAGAAGTGCCATCCTACAGCAAAGAAACCTTCTGATTTGATTTTTGTCACAGTTAAGCACTAAAACTGTCACCCAATTTGTTATTTAGATGGTAATGGTGTTAGAACATTGCTAGGTGAACTGACTTTACAAAGACAGGAGGCAGTGTTTCATCTGGTGCTCTAGAGTTCAAAGTCGCTACCAGGATGGGGCAAAATGTCTTAGCCTACTTTGCCATATTTGCAGTGTATTTTCATAGTGTATTTGATACCAGCAAGTGTCATGCAGACAAAGACTACATCAGCATAGCTACCAGTGGCAGAGAACATGAGCTTATTGGTGAATCAAAGTAAAATCCGCTTTAGCCTAATAAACTCCTAGCCTTCTTGACTTAAGAATAACACTATATAGTGGCAGGAGTGTAATATGCAAGATCCTTCTAGTCATTCATGATATCATGGGGAAATACAAATATTTAAAGTGATCTGTGAAAAAGGGCAGCAGTTCCTAATCATCTTCAAAATTTTATTGAAAAATAGTTGTATCCCATAATCTTCTACAGGATACATGTTTGCCAACTCACCTGCATCCTAATTGCTGTTCTGGCAATTGTCCAGCTCTGTGACCTCTTAAGATTGAAAGATAATGTGAGGCAGTGTGATGATACCTTATGAGACATTTTACTGTTCAGTTTTGGTCACCAGTTAAATTATGGCTAGCTACCTCAGGAGCCTTACTTAAAAGCATAACCTAAATGAGGTCAATCTCTTCTGGGCAGGATTTGCAATGATAATGAGATGGGGTTTTACTTACATACTTTTTGTGGGACTTTTTACACAAGGTTAAAGAGACTGGATTAGAGGGAGAAGTAAACTAAGACCAGAATAAGGTGGAGGTGGAGGAGAAGGATGGCACAAAACACAAACTTAGTCTCCTTTTCCCACTCTTTTTACTATCATTTCAAAAATGGATATTGCCCACAGCCACTACACAGAAAGAGTGAACATGCAAGAACCCATGATCTTTATGGTAATTAATTTGTTTCCATCACTTTGAGGGCAAGTTTCACCTGTAGTCAATGCAGTATCTCACTCATGGTTTTTAATCTTCCTTTCTTTACTTGTAGGCCTTATCAATGTCTGGATTATTCTACTGGAAGAATTAACAACTGCCATATCCAACTGTCCCCGTCAACACCAGCCTCCTACTTTGGATCTGCTCTTTGAACTGCTGAGGGACGTTGCCAAAACACCTGGTAATGAAAGGGATTGACAAAATATGAGCTTAGTGGAGTCCTGACCCAAACCTTTTAGAATTCTAAACCACTTCTGTAAAGTGTACTACTCATGCTAAAGCTGCACAGAGACATTCTCTCGTAGAAAGGGATTTTCTTAGAGTGGATTTGTTGCTCCAGTTAGTGCATTTTTCTGTTGACAAAAGTTGTCTTGCAAGAATATATTGAGCATATTCTTAAATTCATTGCACAAATAGAGAGGTGTGGTACTCTATTGATGTCCTAGTTACAGAAAATGTTTGCTTGGTGTCTAGGAAATGGAAAGAGAAAACTGCGTAATCCTGCAGACTCTTTGGGAGAGACTGCACCTAAACAGTTGGCTAAACGTTCATATAGTATCTCACAACTAGATCCAAAACTCTTACTACTCGCATTCCACAAAAAAGTTTCAGAATTTCCTTTCTTTAGAATTACCCCAGGTCTCAACTTGCAACAACTTAGCAAATTTACTGAGCGTGGAGACTTTGTAAGCAAAAATATACAACCCTCATTATGTTTATTTTTAAGGACCAGGATTTGGCATTTACGCAGTTGTACATCTTCTTCTTCCCACGATGTCTCTTTGGCTCCATCGCAGCCATGGTGACCATTCTTACTGGGATGTAGCATCCGCTAATTTCAAGCATGCCATTGGCCTTTCCTGTGAACTTGTAGTGGAGCACATTCAAAATTTCATACACTCAGGTATGTCATTTTACTGTCACATCTGTCATCAGTGACATGTTACGGATAGCTATTTGTGGAGATGGTTTCATTGCTTTTTGGTTGCTCAAGCGTAAAATAAGAGAAGGAGAAGGGTTAAAATTTTCTGTTTAGGATTTTTTATTTTTCATTCTTTGTAGGATTAAGAATTGTGGGGAAAAAAATTTTAAGGGACTTATGGAAGTTTCTGGAAGCTTCCTACTCAGAGCAGAGCTATCTTCAAAATTAAATCATTATGGTCTTTAGTATACTTTCCAAAAGAAGATACAAATATTTTGATCATAAAGAACTAGAACATCAGAAACAGCATCTAAGAGAATTTCTCCTGTACCACTTAAGCCCAGACATTTTATATTGTTAACATCAGAAGGAATTGTCTTATTTCAACTTGATGCAATGCATGTTTCAATAGCTGCATAAAAAGAATTTGGTTTGCAAATTTTCTGAATAGCATTTAAGTGTAGCAAGACTATGTATTTCTAATTATAATGAAAAGGCAATGATGTCAAAAACAGCCTTTGTCTTTTCCTTATAGATATTGGTTATGAAAATATGATCAATACTATGCTGAAAGATCTTTTCAAGTTGCTGGTAGCCTGTGTAGCAGAACCAACAGAAATTATTTCCAGAGTTGGCTGCTCTTGTATCAGGTAACCCAATCTGTTCGCTCTTAGCATATTCAAAAAAAGATGTCTGTGTCTTTGAAGAACTTGTGGACTTAGGCTGGTCAACATCTCAAAAGATGTCCACAATGTATCTTACCTCTTGTTATTTGAAAAATGAATTTTAGACTTACTAGCCTCTTCTTGCTGTTTCCAGTGTGCTTCAGAACCTGAGATTTTAGGCATTACTGTATGTATGGTTCCCATAAAAAGCTCTTGGATATTACTTTATATATAGTTAGTCAATAATTGATCCTTAACAAAAATACTCAAGGGTTTTTCCATTGGAATTCACATGTCTTTAGAGGTAATTAATATCTTTCACAGTCTTCAGGTTATTACAGTCATAATCAAAATAAGCACTGCATTTATATATTTACACAATGTATGGTTCTTGTGGCAAGATGAGTACTTAAAGAGGAAAAGCAAAGGAGAAAAGAAGTCAAAACTGCAGTGTAATTACAAAAACAGGTCAGGGTAACAACTGAGGAGATTGGATAACATTAACTAGCTACTAAATAAGCCTTTTGTTCTGTTTTCCTATAATCATAGAATGGTTTGGGTTGGAAGGGACCTTAAAGATCATCTAGTTTCAACCATGCTGCCATGGGCAGGGACACCTTCCACTAGACCAGGTTGCTCAAAGCCCCATCCAGGCTACCTTGAACTCTTCCAGAGATGGGGACTTTCAACCTTCTCCCTTTACAAGTAAGAATTGTCTAGTTCCTGCTTTAACATGGTAACATTTTTCCTGTGTTCTTGCAGGTACGTGTTAGTGACAGCAGGGCCTGTTTTTACTGAAGAGATGTGGAGGCTTGCCTGTTGTGCCTTGCAGGATGCCTTCTCTGCCACTCTGGAGCCAGTAAAGGTAAAACTGCATTTTCGCCAGCAGTCAAAATGTAATCACACTGTGTATAGACTCACTAATTTTTGACAGGTTGTTTTTTCTTCTTCAGACAAGTTTTTGTGTATAGAACCAGGAAAAGAAGCCTAAAAGTTATGTGGTAGCTTTTGTTAATTTGTCAATTCACAGTGAAGCATGTTGGATCAACAATGGAGATTGAAACCAGTTTTTCTAAACATACAGACAACACTAGTAGCTAACAGACTTATTTTGAATTGCCTTGGTAGCATGAAATTAGAACAGCTCTGTAGGTGAAAGCTTCCCTTTTGATCCATTTCTTCCTCTGGGTTGACTAATACTAGACAGAAGACAATTTTGCTTATTTAACCCTGCAGCTGCATGCTCCATATAGCTTAGTTTTCAACTCACTGGCTGTCTTATAAACAAAACATCGTGTTAAGTCATTGCCGGCCGGAGTACATAAGAAACTGTAGTGCCTTTACACTGGATGTATTGAATTGCTGAATGGCAGGTGACCACCTGATGGTAATGGGACAGGTCACTCTGAGTCTTGTATTTTACACAAACAGGCTGGACGTTGCTACAGTCACTGAATTGTTTAACGCACAGTGAAAGTCTGATGTTTTGTCTCTCTGTAGAACCTGCTGGGCTATTTCCACAGTGGTTCTGAAAGCTTTAGTGGAGATGCCTGTGAAGTGAAGGTGGCAGCCCCCTCCCTCTCGCCAAGCGCTGAAGCTGAATACTGGAGAATCAGAGCCATGGCACAACAGGTACTGACGGATGTTTCAGGGCAAGTCAGAGAACCTTTTAAACTTGGAGGTTTTCTTTATGAAAGTAAATTTTTACCACCACCTTCCTCACAAACCCTACAGGCAAGGACTTCTTCATCACCAAACTTAACATTTGTGTAACAGCAGTATTCAGAAAAAATTATAAAAACCAGAAAAATAAAACCTAAAAACTGTCTCCCGGTAAATAGGGATTAGGAATGCCTAGAGTGGGGAAAGGTGCATGAATACCTGAGGAGAACTGATGATGAGCCTATTGTGTAATTAGCAGCATCAGCATACATCAGTGGAAACCTTTCTGATAGAGAAACACGTTACCATGACTCTGCATCTAAAATGTCATATACATTTCTGTTTACTCTGTTAAAGAACAATAAATTCAAAGGACAAAAAATGTGCTAGAACAGAGATGGGGATATTAAACTAGGAAAACAAGATTTGTTTAACCTATCAAAGCAGAGTTTTTAGAGAAATGCAGATTTTTTTGTGTTTTACTCTATAAATATCTAGATATAGGTTTCAGAGAAGAAAAAGAGTTGCTGGGAACTAGAGGATAATGCTGATATTTAAAAAATTATTTAAAACTCACAACTAACTCCTCATTATCAAAGCAAACTTTGAGACAACTTTCTTAGGGTCCTTTTGACTACAGTGGAGGTTATTCATTTAATGAAAGTAGTTACATGAAACAAGTTCTTTGAAATACAGAACACTGAAATTAATGACCTGTGGGGAGCCATAAAACTGTAAATACAGTATGACAGCTTCAGCATGGGAAAGCACCTAGATTAAAACAGCTAACAGATGTTTGGTATCAATTTCTGACTTAAAAAATCATATCCTGATGCTGCTTGAAAATCTGAAACACACAGACCAGGTGATCACAAATAATGTGGCAGTGGCAGACATTGTTTGAATAGAAAACAGTGTTGTAAATTAAGTTTTAAAGATGCAGAACTCAAAAAAGCAGGGAATGTGGCATTTATACTTTTCTTGTAGACACTATCAGTGGCACTCCCTGAGTCCTTCTCAGTGGGGATTTACCACAACTACGAAGCTACAAAACAAAGCTACAGCAACTGAGTTGTTTCCCCATTTCCCACTGTCCTGGTTTTGACTGGGATGGAGTTAATTTTCTTCCTAGTAGCTGGTAGAGTGCTGCTGTTTGAATTTAGTGTGAGAATAATGTTGACAACACACTAATGTTTCAAATGTTGCTGAGCAGTGGTTGCTCTAAGTCAAGGGCTCTTCAGCTTCCCATGATCTGCCAGTGAGGAGATGCACAAGAAGCTCAGGGGGACGGCTGATGGAAACTAACCTGATGGATATTCCATACTGTAGAGTGTCATGCTTAGCATGTAAACAGGGCAAGTTGGCTGGGAGGGGCTGATCACTGCTCAGGAACAGACTGGGCATCTGTCAGTGGGTGATGAGCAACTGTACTGTGCAAGTTCATTTCTTTCTCTTTCTTTTGTTGCCTCCCTTTTTGTGGTGGTGGTTGTTATTATTATATTTTATTTAAATTATTAAACCGTTTTTATTTCAACCCATGGATTTTACCTTTTCTTTTCCCTGTTTCTCCTCCCCATCCTTGAGGGGGATGGGTGTGGGATGTGGTAAGCAGTGGCTGTGTGGCACTTAGTTGCTGGCTGTGGTTAAACCACCACCCACACACAAAGAATTGCATACTAGATTTCTGTATCTTAATGGCTGAAAATAATCCTTCTGACAACCAGCCTTTCTAGGTGCAACAGGGCTAACTATGCAAATAGGTCCTTGTCTCCACTATACTTGATATTTTCAGATAGTAGTGTACAGACAGTAGAAAGTGTGTTTTGGCTTTTGGTACTATGCCTTATACAAGTTCAAAGAAAAATATGTCTGTCCTTTGCCCTGTTCTCTGTGGATGTCTGGGGATAGAGCCTGTCAGAGCCTCATTGCTCTGAGACTGTTTTACCAAACCAGCATGCTCCAGGGAAGGTCTGCCTTGGGGGATACCTTGCACTCTCTCTATCACTATAAAATAATTCAATATGACAGATTTTTTGCAATTTAGGTAATCCTATTCTTGGGTGCCTCCAAGAACCCGGTGCAAGTGCTAAACTGACTGTTTTATGTCACTTGTTTTCTAGGTCTTCATGCTGGAGACTCAGTGCTCTCCAAAGACCCCTAGCAACAAGGAAGGGTTTGAACATGCCCAGTCATGTGTGCTCATCATTGACTTGCCACCAGATAAGAAACCAAATGGGCATAGCCAGAGAAGGTAAAGTATCTTCTCAGGAAAATACTGTGTCATTGAAAGTAAGGTAAAAATATTTCCACACAGAGATGTGAACTGAGTCTGGCAAACTATACCTCTCCCTAGAGCTCATAAAAAGAAATGAATACTCTGATCAAATTAGGTTTTGTGACACTGTTATGTTTGTAATGATACCTTGCAAATGCAATGTCTGCTTCACTAATGGTCTTTTAAATTCAGTATTACTCAATTAAGAAGGTGAAAAAAGATAATGGATAAGCTGGAACAGTATAAATTGAAGAGACCACATCCAAAGCTGTGAAAAACTGTCAACGTATTGAGCTAGGGAACATTGACTTTGCTTGGCACTTTATTTTTGTGGAAGTCCTTCCATTATGTTACTGCCTCAGAAATTCATGCATTTGCATGACATTCTGATCCTGTCAAAGAATATTTCTCTTTGCTTGCACTCAGTTGTTTAAACAACTGATGTAACGTCAGTAGGGCCAAGAATCAGAATTCTGCATTCAGGGTTTGTGTTTTTATTGCAAGGTATGAAATACATGGCATGAAATTGTCTTTTACAAAATACCAAACCTACTTCTGTGCCACTTCAGGCAGTCTCATTCAAATCTAAACTATTGCTTGCAACAAGGAGCTGGAATGTGATGGTTCTTCTTTGGCTGAACAGGAAGAAAGACCATACAAGATGTCTCTGTTCTTACACTGCTGTATAGAAGTTTCCCCTGAGAGCAGGTGCTCTGTTTCCTTGCCTTCCGAGCACAGGGCCCCGTGCAGAGACAAAGAAAGCTTAAGATCACAGTCTAAACCCTTCCTTTGTGGTGGGGAAATATCTGCTTTATTCAAAGTTTAGCAGATTATTCTTCTTGTTAAAATGAAAGCAAAGCAAAAGAGTGGAATACTCACCTCTCACAGCATGTAAGGCCATGCAATCTAACAGGCTCTGTAAAGGGAGTGTGGGCCTTGCTTGTCTTTAGACAAATAAATAAATAAAGCTTGCAATTAATACAAACTCTGAATGCTCTCACACTACGCTTTGTCTAAACAACTGCAAAAAGTGTATATGCCAGTAGGCAAGTGCTACCCCAGCAATACTCATTTTTTCACCAAAACATAGCTCAAAAGTTGACTGTGCCACTGTTTTTCTCATTATTTGCTACAGCAGTGCAGTAATATGCCAGTCATGCATGCTAGTAACTGTGGCCTTTCAAAAGTTTTACTTTAACCTTAGCAGGGTTTCTCTTCTCCCTTTTGCTTTTGTTTCCTTAATGCTGCATCGTTTCACAGGAAGCTGGGGTAAGGGAGCTTTTCTTTTTCCTAAAAAATAATCATAATTTCAGTTTGAAATTTTGGGCAGAATAAGAAAATACTATCCTTAACCAGCTTTGACACTGTGTTTTCACCTATATTGCTGTACTAGTTTGTTTTGGGATTGAGCAGTGCTTTACACTGTACTTGTAAATTGCTTTTTTGGCTATTACAAGGAAAGCAGATCTCCTTCATTCCTGACTATGCTTTTGAAACAGGATTAGTTGCTTGAAATCACTGCAAGCTCTCATTTAATTTTATACATGCTCTTAAGAGCTTTTCTGAGTCAGAGCCTCAATGATTTTTACAGCAGAAAACTACTTCCCCATAAAGAACTCCACTATATGTGTTAATCTTCAAGATTTTAGCACTGTGAGATAAATTTAACTGATGTATCAGCACTGACAGCTGTATCATAGTAAGTGAACTGACATGAGTAACTTAAACCAAGAAGAACAGTATGAATTTTTTTTTTCAATGTTTCATTCTCAAAACTGAATTTTGATATGATTTTTCAAAAAAAAAAAAAAGAAAATTAAAATTAGACTTCATATTTTGGTATTCCCGAACACTTTTGAAAGTTGTTTAATGAAAGTGAAAAATATTAAAGGTCTACAACTGAACTTTTCATGTTATGTGAAGATTTGCTTTAACTTAGACCTAAAATTTCAATATTGCAAGCAAACTGAAAAATCTCTTCCTCACTTGATAACCATGCAAATTAAAACACAACCCATCATACATTGAAACAAGTGTTGCTATATGCATCTGCTCCATTTAAAACATTGCTGCTATAGTCTTATGCAAAGACTTTTTTTTAAAGGCCTTAAGATAGGTTCCACGCTTTATAATTTTAAATCCATGAGATACCAAACAACAATCGTGTCCACCTCTTCTTCCAAGCCTTACTTGCGTGTAAGCCTCTCAGTGTTATTTACCGGTAAATGACCTAAAAACTTTGTTTGGAGGAATTTGCCATTCCTGGGTCCCCTGTGCAAATCAAATATTAGTGAGGGCTAGAATAACTCCCAGCATCTCTCTAACAGGAGCACAGCTAAGAATACTCGGTATTGTGTGTGGAAAAAAGGGTTAGGAGTACATATTTCCATGCTAGCTTCTCAGTGTTCAAGTTGGTCTTAAGAGCAAACACAAGAGTGACACGTGACTTCAGCTTCTTTGCATGCTGCATTGCACTGCTGCTGTTTCTGTACATGTTTATTTGTTGGTTCATTGGCTCTTTGAGGTTTATTTTTCAGAAATACTCTTGGCATTAGTGGAAATGGAAACCAAATAGTAAACTAGTTTTGGCTTCAATTTGTCATACCAAAGTTAAGGTTGTCTGATATTGGTGGATGGGTAACTTCTGTGTTAACAAGTCCCTCAGTTATAGCAGGCTGAAATATTGAGCATACTTGCAGCTGCCAGAAAATTAAGAAACAGAATATTTAATCCTTCAGTGTCAGATACTGGAGAAAAGGACAAAAATCATAATAGAGTTTTGTTTTAATACCACCTTTACATAAGTGCCATTAGTGTGTTTGCTGTGGGCAATTTTTCTTAACCAATGCAAGAATCTTCTCTTTTAGGAAACTATTTGAAAGACTAGCTGAAAGACCATTCTAGACTGCTTTATCTTTCTCCACTTCTTTAGTAACAAGGCTGTAAAAATTTGGCCTTTCATTTGCACTTTTCACATTAGATTCTACAATATAAAGTAGTTCTGTACTCCTAGTAAAAGTGCAATGCACCGTTTTAATATGCTGTGATTTTTTCCTTCTTATGCTTGGTTTACCAAGTATTCCTTTCAGGACAATAGTGGTGAGCTTGCTGTCCCACCAAGTGCTACTCCAGAATTTATATGACATCTTACTAGAAGAATTTGTGAAAGGCCCTTCTAACTTGGAGGAGAAAACGACAATACAAGTACCAGAAAACAAGTTGGCTGGTTTTCTCAGGTACATCTCCATGCAGAACCTGGCTGTCATCTTTGACTTATTGCTGGACTCCTACAGAACAGCCAGAGAGTTTGACACGAGACCTGGTTTGAAGTGTTTGCTGAAAAAGGTGTCTGGCATTAGTGGAGCTGCCAACTTGTATCGACAGTCAGCAATGAGCTTCAACATCTACTTCCATGCCTTGGTCTGTGCAATCCTGACAAATCAGGAGAACATCACTGCAGAGCAAGTGAAAAAGATCCTCTTTGAAGATGATGAGAGAAGCACAGACTCATCACAGCAGTGTTCTTCAGAAGACGAAGACATTTTTGAAGAGACTGCCCAGGTCAGTCCTCCCCGAGGGAAGGAGAAGAGGCAGTGGAGGGCTCGAATACCATCTCTGAGCGTGCAGCCCATCAGCAATGCAGACTGGGGGTGGTTAATCAAGCGGCTTCATAAGCTCTGCATGGAACTCTGCAACAACTATATCCAGATGCATCTGGACCTGGAGAATAATGTAGAGGAGCCTCCAGTGTTCAAAGGTGACTCCTTCTTCATTTTACCATCTTTTTACTCAGAAACCTCCACTCCATCGACTGGAGGGCTGTCTGGAAAGGACACGCCATCGGAGGATGATCGGAGTCAAATCAGGGACCAACTGGGAGACAGCCTGACACCTCGAGGAGGGAGTGGAGAAGTGTTGCTGCTCCCCCCACCCTTAAGTCCTAAACCAGAGAAAAAAGAGCAAACCAAGAAAAAAGAATGGTGGGAGAGTGCTGGCAACAAGATCTACACCATAGCCACTGACAAAACCATCTCCAAGCTCATGACAGAATACAAGAAGAGAAAGCAGCAACAGGCCATGACATCCTTCACCAAAGAGGTCAAAGTGGAAAAAAAAGGGGAGCTCCTGTGTTCAAGAGGGCCAGACTCACCCGTGCTCCAGCGGCCACAACATCTTATAGATCAAGGTCAGATGAGGCATTCATTCAGTGCTGGTCCAGAGATCCTGAGACAAGAGAAGAGACCACGCTCAGGATCTACAGTCAGCTCCTTGAATATATCTGTTAGGGATGCTGAGGCCCAGATACAGGTAGGACATTCTTATGGAATGCTAATAATAATAGCAATAAATAAAAATATACCTATACATATTTTTAATTGATTTTATTATAATCTTTTCATTAAATGCCTTTTTAGATAAAGAAGTCTTCATGATGAGCACTGAATCTTGCAGCAGCTGATACTGATAAAAACCTGATTTTGTCCTATTAAAAGAAAGTCGGTCTTTAGGGAAGTGTTATCAGGCATATACTAGTTCAGCTTTCAAGAGTGCTTCTGTGACTTAGGTCAAAGCTGCACTTAATCTTTAAGAACTAATAACCTACAGCAAACTCATTGCTTACTGCTGAGGGCTCTAGCCCACCTAAATCTTTTCAAAACACCATGCTCCTTGTCACAATGCTTTTGTACTTGAGGGTTTTTTTGTTAATTCCAGAGCAAAAATAGTGGGCTCTGTTGCTGAAAAGAAACTTGCTGCTTTCATGTCCAAGTGAACAAATTAGTGAAGGATTCTACCTTGACAGACTTCGTTCACTGTGGGACAAAAAAAAGAGGTGATGAAGGGTGAGCATGATACCTGCAGTACAAAGTCAAACAATTACTTATAGTACTGATTGTGAACTAGGAAAACACAATGAACATTAATGAATATGCTGGCATTACTCAGCCCTCTTCATGAGGCTGTAGCCACCAGATATCTTATTTTGTGCCTCAACCAACGGGCTCATTTGTTTCAAAAGGTCTTCTAAAGAGTCTTTTCTTTCTGTCCAACTTATTTATAGGCATGGACCAACATGGTGCTGACAGTTCTCAACCAGATTCAGGCCCTGCCAGATCAAACTTTCACAGCCCTGCAACCAGCAGTGTTCCCCTGTATCAGCCAGCTGACTTGCCATGTGACAGATATCCGTGTCCGCCAGGCAGTACGGGAATGGCTGGGAAGAGTGGGCCGAGTTTACGACATCATCATTTAAACCAAGCAATGCTCTGTTGCAAAGGGCAACAAGGTATACAGCAAAGAAGTATTTGGGGTTCATTAGTTGCCTATTTGTTGGTCATAAATTAAGAAACAATGACCTTGTTGGTTTATGTCATCCACTTGAGATTGTGTGTTCCTCGCTCACACTAGCAAAGGAGGCAAAACATGAGTCTGTCCAAGTATCTGGCATGGCCCCAGAACACAGAAACTACCAGTAAATCAGTCTGGTACCTGAAGGGGTGATACATTTCAGTACCCTTCATTTTAATTCAAATTTGTGACTTGTGGGAGCCACAAGAAACTGCAGCAAACCTTCCACACTTGCAATTAGCTGTGAATGCAACTGTCATGTGGATGTCAAACCAGGTCAGTAAGCCTATGTAACTTTAAAAAATAACTAAATAAATGCAAGTCGGGGAAAAGATGGAGCTATAGGACAAGTAAAAAGGTGATGCTTTTTAGGGTAGCATTCTCCCTTCAAAAATTAACATGAGAGAGGATAGGCAACTAAAGACTATTGTAGTAACCATATGCATCACTCACTAAAGAAAGTGGAAATTTATTTTGCTCCAAAAAGAGCCTTTGAAGTCTGGTCACATTTGGAATAGCTGAAGTATTCCAGGTCTAAAACTGGTGAACCAAGCACAGACTATTGATTCTTTCATTGCTCTTTCGGAGTATTGCTTGAAGAGAAATGGCACTGTCAAGCTGCCCTCTCTCCAGTGCTACCCTGGCTGCCTCTTCAGCTATGCCTACAGTTGACCATTTTTCCACAGGTTAAATTCCCCCTAAGGGTAAAAGGGAAGTTTGTTTTGTGTTTCCTGTGAAGCTGTGAGTAAATACCAGAGTAAATACCAGCATGTGCCAATATGCAGCATTCAACTAAGCAGAGTAGGGATAAAGTTTTCCAGTCTAAGCAACACTGGCTATGATTCTTCTGGAAGTTTTTTTGCTTATATAGAGCTGCTGTAGCCAGGAACACCCTTATCACCTTTGTTAAATGTAACCTGTCACTTCACATTGAGCTGAAGCAAGATGGAAAATAGTCTGAAGGGAAGGTATCTTTGCTGTTCCTCTCCCATTTCTTACCTGCTGCTGTAAATAGAAAGGGGCATATCCTCACAGAGGTTCATCCCCCTCTGTGCAGCACTCCTATAGGGACTACTGCAATTTGCTGTTATGAGTAAGAGGGAGGAGAAGGGGAAGGATTGACTATTGTGTTGTCAAACGCATATGTGATGTTCCTCGCACTGGACACAGCAAAGGGTTACCTTGCTGCACAAGTTATGTCACGGCCCCTGGGACATTCCATCTCGAACTCCCATGCCACATAATTTGTTGATCAGAGTTGAAATAACTTGTTGAAAATAAGTTGATTTTTAATCTTTGAGACCCCTTAATGCTGTTCTCCCAAGACTTTTAAAATGTGCATACCAACTAAATATACAGCTTCAATCCCTTCTCCAAAGCGTTCTAAAAATGTCATCTCCTTATATCAGGCCTGGATTTTGCACAACTAACTGCTTTTAGCATCTTAAACCTAGAAAAATGGAGCCAAGAGGCTTCAGTGAACAGCCATCACCCAAGCTGCTGTGTTTACAAAGAGTCTGCCACTATCCTCCTGCCTTTTCCCTCTATTGCCTATATTCCATTAGACCTGTTAGACTTGTGCAGGGAATATTTGTCCCATAAATTTCTGTAGTGTCAGTCATGCTGTTTCCCTTTCTTTCAAAACTTCTCTTTGCTAAATTGTTTAAAGGACATAAAAATTCCGTAAAAACAACTCTTTCCTACCACCTAAACTGAATTTATAAATGACCAACATTTTTTTCAATTGTCAGTTTTCCCCCAACAGTTTAAATACTTCTTGGGGACAGGTTAGATTAGCCTTTGGTATCTGGGAGAGTAGTAACACAGTTTGATTTCTGTTGCCATGTCTTTCTTATACATCTTTAGGTATAGAAAAAGAGCGGTTATATATTTTGTACAAGTTTTTACTGGGCATCTAGATAGAACTAGTTTTAAAGCAGTACATTAGTTAGGTAACAACAGAAATCAGAATAATAGACCATATGCAAAACAGCTTTTCATTATAAAAAACCCCAAGTTTTCATTATAAATTTCGTTATAATGTATTTATAATGAAAACAAGTTCTCATTATAAATGCATTGAATGGATGGAGATCCTTGTGGTACTGATCTAAAACTAAAGAAAATCCCTAAATTACATTGGGGAACTAAAATTGGCAGCAGTACTGGTGAAATCACTCAGGACTACAGAGGAGGCCCTAGTATCTAGGAAACACTATGGTTATGTGTTCTGGTTGAAATACAAAATCCTTCTGTAAAACAGAAAAAAAGCTCTAGGAGTGACAATACGACTACCACCTCCCATGAACAGTATAATCTAGCGTTATCTGATAAGCTATCTTGACCTAAAATATAATTTCATTTCAACTACTTACACTACAACTACCATACTGGAAAATGAGGAGGAGTAGATTTGCTATACTGCTGTTGCCCTGTTTTAAACTTTGTCCATCAAATTGTGCACCAAGTGCCCATTGTCACCCTCAGTGCCTGTTCTTATTAAAACCCCTCCATAAGAGGTCATGAGTAACTTTGAGTAATTCCAGAAATGTGATTTAAAAGGAGGGGTGTATGGTTTGAAGCAACAAGCTTTACATAGCAAAATTCAGCATGTGCTGCTCTTCTTTATGTGTAAAATGATAAGCAGGTGAGGAGAACAGCCCAGGGCCACTTCAGTAACCATTAATCTGAGATGTAGGAGCCTTCTGATGCACCTTCAAATTATAAACAGATAAAAAAATCGAGTTGGTTCATTGGATTCTCAGCAATTTTTTTGGTTGTTAAGCCATAGACATCAGCAAGCCCCAAAGAAATAGAACAATAAACATGTGAAGTTACCTTCTGACCTCAAGCTTTTAGCCCAAAGGAGGAGTCTGCCAGGACAATCCTAGGAAAAGGTGACTGGCATCAGCCTGTCATAAGCTTCAGGAGAGGATTCCCAAACATTCCAGTCCTGTCAAGCTATGTGTCCATGCTACAGCAGCTTTTCTGCTTTCCATTTGTGAGTGGGGAAGCACCTTAGTCAATAGCACAAAGTAGCCCTTGTATCCACATGTGTAAGTCTCACACACCTAACCCATTCAAATCCTCACTTATAGCTCTGTAACCTAATGCATGAGCTACAGCAGCATCTTGGCAGCTTTACTGTGGTGGCTTGACATCCTTCTCAGGTACCAGAGCTGCACCTCTGCTGCCATTGCCTAATTCACACTGCCCTCCTCAGAGCCACTGCAGCAAGCCGAGACAAGGGCATCTCATTTTCAAATCTTGTAGGCAACCACTAACAGAGAAAGTTGCTGTTGTCCAGCATCAACTACCTTTAAGCACATGAAATAGCTCATCACTGCAAATATTTAAAGCAGACAAAAGCAGAGCACTCATCAAGAAAGTGATCCTTCATAACAGAAGTGGGGTTTGACCCCAACTCACGTGGTCTCAGGCCATTGCATGTGTTTGCACTTTATCCTGTACTGGGAACAGGTGCAGACATATGAGATGACTGATGCATCTACAGATACCTGTAGCTCCAGTCACTGTCATATTCTGAGCAGTCAGCGTATTTTCAGAAAGCTGTCGTGCTGTCCAAGTGTTTATATCACACCTGCACTGGTTAACACAGTTACTGAGCATTCATCAGCCGTAGAATTACCACCACTATCTTTTGGTTAGCATGCTTTCATGTCCTTAAGATACTAAGATACAGATTTAATACTTTCCTGGGGATAAACACTCATGTGAGAATAACTGACTTAATTTAGCATGTAGAAAGAATTACTAGGAAAAGATTTAGGCAAAACTTTCCTTGTACAACTCCAAGCACAGGCAACACAGTTTTTTGCCTCATCACAGATTAAAAAATCGTGTCCTCTGCACTATGGCTGGCTCATGCCAAGGCCAAACACAGTTTACATCTGTGACTTGTAAGGTGCTTTGCCTTTCAGATTGAGCTTCAAGTTTTGTTTAAAACCTAAACCTTAACTGTAAAATTCACTGACAAATTCTCACTCGCCAAAGACATAACTCTCACCTCTAAGTACCTTGCGTTACTGTGTGTAATCTTCATCTCTACTTGATAGAGCAGCATTTCAATGTTGATATTGACACTTCAGAGCTTGGCAGCAGCACTGGCGTGAAACTGAGCAGCAAACAAACTAGCAAGTAGAGAGGTCCAACTCCATGTGCTGCCTGCACTTTGTACCTTTCTTCACAGGTTAAGCCTACATTCAAAGTGCCAAAGCTCTTGAAAGCAATGGAAATTAGGTACCTAGACATCTTTATTACTCAGGACTCAGTCCTCGAATCCTTTAGTCTCAACATACGGGTTTACAAGTTCTCAGGAAAGGGTAAGTCCTGTACAGTTCCTCGCATCGCCCTTTCTGCTGCTGTCCTCTCTACAGCTTCTGCTTGAAAAATCCACAGGAACCAGCAAAAAGTCCCATGCATCCCAGTGCTGCAAAATTGGAACCTTCACTTTTGCACAGATCCAGTATTAGCATGTAGGAGGCTGACCCAAGCAAGCTGAAGTGTTTTATTTTTTACATAGCTCCTCATCTGTGTAGAAGCCTATTGAGAAACTGGGCGTGGGGTTTGGTTTTGTCAGCTTTAGCAATCCATTCTAGACATGCCATTTTTCAGTGATAAATTGTTTTTAATTCACAAAAATAGTGAAGTGCTTTCTTTTTTTCCCCTGCTTTTTACTAAGATCATGTTTAAGCAAGCTACTTACTCATCACTCCAGTTATAGTCATTTATGGAAAGACCTGTGTGCAGGGCTAATCATGGCATATGACAAAAAAACACCCCAACTGTATTTTTTAAGTGTAAAAGGACCAAGTTACCATAGCACAGAAGCACAAATGTTAGATTTTATGCAATATAGATAATAGCATCTGGCAGCTAGTCATCCCTCTCCGCTGAATCTCCCTATTTTGAGTGGAGCTTCTATAGGGATATGACTAAAGGGTCTCCTACTGGCCCTCACCAGCAACATGCCTGGGATGCCAGGAAGTTGTACAGCTGCAAGGAAGAAGTCTTATATCCTCTTTTTGTTGTTTCCACTAATCCCCCTCCGAACATGTACTTTATATGGGACACTAATACCATACTGAACAGATTTGGCCAAACGTGCAGTGCTGGCTATTTAAAAAGAAAAAATGAAAACACACATGGCCTAAATATGCACCAGTCTTTTCACTTAGTGCTCAGAGGTCTCCAAGCTGAAAACTAAAAGCAAAGAGAAGAAGAAATGCCCTAATTCTGTGGTTATTAGTGGAGCTGCACTTTATGATCCTGGATTAATGCAATAATGAGCTTGCCTGTGGAACCAGATCCCTCAAATTCCAATTTTTGGCAAAATCACAAGTTGAGGTTTGCATAGTCTCCACTGCCACATTGAATCAGGGTTTATGGAAAGCATTTTTGGTTAAGAAACATGGCAACAGGATCTATTTCAATCCTTTTACCCCAACATCCCACTTTTCAAAAGGTAGTTTATGTACTTCCATAAATTTCATCTAAATACCGTGGAGCACCAGGACCCTGTTTCCTCTCCATGCATTTGGTCCATCTGAGCTGAACTGAAGTGCCATGTTTTCACAAGAAGCAAGCTGCAGTGATAGAACTGAGCTAGCAGAGAGGCACAGGTACACAGATTAAAGCAAGGGACAAATATCACCTCCACAAGCAGGCTGTGGCTCCTGAGCCACCCACTCTGCAGGGGAAGGCAGGATTTGATACCAAAGGGGAAACAGCCAGGAAGGGCAGAGCATGGTGGTGACAGAGCCCTGTACTGCATGCTGCTTGCTGGTGCAGATGGGAGCGAGAGATTAAAAAGTACACAGTGACAGCAGCAAGCACCTTCTTTCAGTTCTTCCCACTTTCTATGCCTCTTTTCTCTCTCCACTTTTTATCATTATTTGTGAGACTGCAAACATACTTCTGTGGGCCCTTCAACCAGAACTGAAAGCAAGCCAAAGGGAGTGGACACTCCATTTCACCAAAGATCTAAGACTTTCCTGTATTTGAAAATTAGAAAAATAAAATTTTATTTCCCTGATGATGGCTGCCACAGGAAGCATTTTACCACAAAACATGATTCCCAGGACTTAATCTCTCTAGCTGTATATTCAGGAGGAGCCAATAATATTTTTTAAGAGAGACTATAAATCACCTTGTCAAGCAAGTGCTTACATGGGGTTTACCTTCTGCTGATTTGATACCTAGCTGCAATTCCTTGGTCTCATCCATGTTTCCTCCCTCTACCTTTCTGCTCTTCTTTAGAAAAACACCTCCCTGTGTCTGCTGCGTCCTGTTGTGCCGCTAGCTTTGTATGGTCCTTGGGTGTCCAGTGGTTGGGCAGTCACTGTCAGCTGGCTTGCAAATTGTATTTTGTGTATATTTTATTCTGATTGAATTCTGAAATGGAAATATTTTAAAACAAAAAGTATAAACTATTTATGTTGTTTGTGTTGTAGAATAAAGATTGAAATGCAAAATAAATTATGCTTTGGTTCTGTCTGACAAAAGTTACTTTACAGTTCCTGATGAAGCAAAGGAACAGAACTGAGAAAGAACCTGAAATATTTGGTATGTACCAGCAGGGACTGCAGTTTTCATGGATCACTTGAGGAATTTAGTCACTCTGAACTGCTGGGTTTTTTTGATGGCAGGTGAGTTCTAAACACTGTAACAAATGAGTCCTGCAGCAGTCCTAGCCAGAGTCTGGGCTTGTAAGGGTGGAAAAGGATAAAGCTACTGAGACAGCTAAAGGTGCAGTAGATATACCATGCAGAATTTTTGAACATCTAAATTGGTGAATCATTTCTCCCTCCATTAAAATGAGGAAAATACTTTAGTTTTATATTTCATTAGAGATGGGTTCATTGGAGCTCTCATGCACAGTCAAACGTTTGTTCCATTTTTAAGCTAGGCATTCCCTGACCACAGTCAGTTTAGCTAGCACTCAACATGTGTTCCCAACCTACAGGTGCATGCAAACAGTATGGTTGCTGCTGTGTTTCATCCTGCTGAAAAGCTCAGCAAGGGCTCTCCCCATCACCTAAATTCCTCTTTGATTAAAGTTGAATCAGTGATTGCTCCTGATGACAAAAAACCACATTTGTTTAATGCAAATACTTAATGAAAACAGTGAACACCTTCACAGCAGGATAACATGCTTTTGTATGCAACCAAAATTAAAGTACTGGAGGAGAACGGGTTGGCCACTACCCCTGTCAAAATAATTGCCCCTGTCAAAAGGGTTTCCTGAAAGCAGGAGTGTTCCAGCAACAATACATGAGCATCATAGAATAACCTTTAGGGTACACCTCTGTGTGCTCAGGGATGCTATCCACAGCCCAAAGGCAAGTTTGCCACATAAGAGTGAAAATGCAGCTGGCATTCTCACCTGGCCTCACTGGGTTCTCTGGGCTTGGGCTCCCATCCACTGAAACGACACAAGGTCTGGCCTTCCATGTCTGTTATGTAACAGCCTCATCAGCATGAAGGTTAAGAGCAGATTACAAAGCAAATAAATGAGGTTGTGAAGCTTTAATAATCTTACACACTTCTGGCAAAACAAGAGTGTGTTAAATCCTAACTGTCAGATCTAATTTCATTCCAGGAAACTACCTTCTGCTGCTCCATACGTCGCATTAGATCCCATTAGAAAGATTTTCATTTCCTCCTAAACACCGCTCAGGAATGTGAAACAGCAACAGGGTAAATACAGAAAGTACTGCTCCACTATTTCACTCACTCCTTACATGTACAAATTTCCAGTTGCCTTCCCACTTAACGCTGAGGTCAGACTAGCATGGCTTCTACTGCCACTGGTGCGAGAGGTCCACATGTGATAGAAGGGGTGAACTTGCTTTGTACTTATCTAGAAGACACTAGATCATCTTCTATTATCGAGGAGCAAAGTGTTAAGAACATTTGTCAAGGAAACCAGCTGTCAAGAAATATAAAAAAAAAAAAAGGGACTAAACAGGCACACCATTAAATTTCACTATTAAATTGGTTCAGTGAGCAGAAGTCAAAATAAGAAGTAGAAAAGCCTGGGTTCTGTCTGCTGAGCAATGTGAAATGCAGGGTGATCTCTGATTTTGGAGCTTTTGGCAAAGAAGCTAGCATCAGGATAAACCTCTTAACGTCTAATATCGCCGTAAACAAACACAAATTGAACTCTATCCAAATGCTTGACACAGTGTCCTGGAACAATGCAGTCAGTATCCAGATTTCAAAACCCAGAGAATCCCAAATAAATTAAAACAATGTTGTTTTAAGCACAGGTCAGCTAGGTCCTACTCTTATCATGAAGGTAAAAAAAAAAAAAAAAGAAAAAACCCAAACCCAACAAATTAGTGAGGCTGCGTGTGCAATTTTCTGACTCCTGATAGAAATCCATTGTAGTAAACCTGATTTGGTTCTTTGTTCTGTTTTCTTTTTTTGTAAGAGATTTGTACCTTTATCTACACTGTAATTAATGGGAAATCTGTATCCATGAAGTAGAAGCAATACTTCTGATTTGCCAGCTCTCAGGAAATATGCCCAACCTGAAATATTTTTGTTCACTATGGTTAGTGTGACCACTTCTGAGGAGATCTCTCATCATCTTCATTCCCTACCGCAGTCAAACAAAATTAGTGAAGATTAATTTAGAATACTTTACTGTGTAGCATTTATAAATTATTTACTATGGTTTTAAACGTTACATTACATCCCTGGCAGACTGTTTGTACTTCAGTTCCTCCTTTGTGCCAGTGATTACAGGGAGAAAGAGATCAAAACAAAACTGGATAAGATGCTATATTGAAATCTATCCTTGTAAGTGTCCTTTGTCCAGGAGCTCAGAAACAGGCAAATCTTCAAGCTTGTGAAACAGTAATGTCAAACATAATGAGAAAGTGGAAAATGGCTTTGAAAATGTATTGCAGTAACTAATCTAAGGAGAGGAAGGTGACAAGGCTCTTGGTTCATAATGCTCACTTGGAAAAACAATTCATCTTCCCTTTAGAAAACACAGGAATCGATTTCTGGGTAGAATTGTCATGGTGGCACCACAAATACAAGGGGCCCGATAAAAATGTTCTTTCAAAATCCCAGCTGCGGAGATGGTCACCAGAGCAGATCTTATATCTCTCTTGCATACATTACCTTTTCTTTTAAAAGGACACTAAATAATTGAATATCTCAATGCAGGTTCTTGTGACCAGCCCCAAGCCCAAGAGAATAAAGACTATTAGTTTGCAAAGCCAACCATGAAATAAAACAAAACAAAGGAAGATTTAAATCTAGTTTGATAATTATTTTTTACAATTTTTCAATTTTAGACAGAGCTGTGCTGAGAGTAGGACAAGAAGTATGACCACTATTAAATGTCTGTTTGAAGGGAGGGTGTATAGGGCAAGCTGTGTCTAGACAACAGTACAGATCTGCACAGATATGCAGTGACTGCTAAAGAAAAACAGGATGAGAAAGAAGAGCCTGGGGCAGGGCACAAGAGCCAAACTACATCACTTTGTGTGTCTCTTTTAGACACTCAAACCAAGCCAGGCTGGCTGGACATGCATCCCTCTCAAGAAGGCTTCATCCTGCATATGGCAAAAAAGTAATGTTTGGAGCCAAATAAAGTTTAAAAAAACCTAAACGCTGAAGAGCAACACCATAATGTAAATGCCTCTAACCAGTCAGGTCTAGTGCAGCCCCTACAACCTGGGCACATTATAACTGCTCACCCGTACAGGCCCTGTTGACCCACAGCAAGAACCCCCTGGTTCCTCTTGCTGTAACACACCAAGTCACTCGAGACCGAGAGTGTGAGGATATGCTGTGATGGGAGGATCCCCACCTTGTAGCAGAATCGAATAACTTTTTATTTATCCAACAGACAGTACCCAACAACAGATATGCCTCAGACGTTCTGCTTACAGCTGCTTCTTTGTATTCCACTGCCTCAAGCAAAATCTACTTGTTCTCTAAGAAGAAAATCCACATTTAATCAGCCTGGCCCCAGGCTTTCACAACTGTCCAACTCTGAGCGACACTGGAGCTTCACACAGGAGCAAGATTTTGCACAGCAGCGTCAGTGCAGCCCGTGCAGCCTGAATTGGAACACACATTGGGGCACCCTCTTCCCACCTATCCAGAAGCAGGTCTTTTCTCAATACTCAGTCTTTTCTCAATACTCAGTCTTTTCTCAATACTCTCTCAAATGACAATAAAATCTCCTGAATTTAGGACATGACAGACTGCACACTTGGAAGAACTGTTCAGATCATCCATGCAACCAGCCCAAACACCAGAGCAGTCTTCTCTTTGTTTTGTTACAGTTTTGGCCCTTCTTGTAGAAGCCCTCACCTCAACATCAGCTTTTCACAGAAGGCACTGTCACATAACTCTGTGCATCTCGACATCAACACATCATTCTTGGGCTGCAGCTTGCATGTGCTAGCTGAAAACCTAGCCTGTTGTAAAGCTGCTCACACTGAGTAGTGGTTCTCAGCAGCACCACTGTCCAGGTATTCCTAATGTGCAACTATTCCCCTCCAAGCATTCACACATCCCTTAGACAACCCATTTCTTTCATGATCCGTTTGCAATGCCACTCCCAGCTGCCAGGCTAAGCCTCTCATTTTAAGAAGCCACATTTAAAGCCTTTGCATCCATGGTTTTCTGTGGAGGGTGTTGCATGATGCCTTATCTTTTCTAATACCGAGACCCTTTCATTTCCAATCCTGTAGCATACTTTCCACTTGCATCTCCTTAAGCTCTCATCTCCCTAGCCTGAGGGAAACTGTGGCAGTGCCTTTACCCTGTTGTCCCAAGTGTTCTTGTCCTTACGGCCTTGTGCTGATCAATTCTGAACTATTTTTATATCAGAAATGTCTGCCTTTCATCTTTAACTCATCCCTTTTTCCCCCCCTCTGCCTCCTGACATCTTAGTTTCCAATCTACGGCTCCATTGTAAGAGCTCTTGAGCCTTCCCCTCACAGTTTTTAGCAGGCAACTTCTGCACCTATGAGGGTAACGGCTTATTATTTACCCAACAGACAGTACCCCATAACAGACATGATCAAGGGGCAGCAAACAACCAGCATGCAGCTCAGGCACCACATCAAGTGTGACGTGATTGACGCTAACAGCATCATAAGCAAAAACAACCGATGGGGAATTTGAGCAGCTCCCAGTGGGTCACGCTCAGCGGTGTTACGTGCCACCTGCTGCACCAAGAGGACACCCCAAGGAGGAGGACACCTACCTGGGTGTCCCTCACTTCCCAGCGCTCTGGTGGGGAAAAGTTTTCCCTTTTCTCTGCTGCTTCAGGTACCCCTACCACTAGCTCTGCTAATTAAGCTTTATGTATTTAAGGCTTGCTGACCTGCCTTTGTACAACAAATCTAGGCTTGACTGCCATTTTGCTGACAAGTTGAACCATTAACCAGTGTACTTGAGAAAAAGATCTTGCCACATCTGCAGATTTGGGGCCTCTTTCATAT